AATGGCTAAATTAAAGGCTAAATTATGCTTAAATTAAAGACTAAATTACGCTGGCAGTGAGGAAAAATGTTCGAATCTTTATATTCCTATATTCCTAAACCTTCCACAACCTACTTACATTTGTAGGGTTCCTCACTCTTCTTTTTCTCTAAGATGAATGTCGAGGTACCTAGCGTACTATATAGCGACTTATCGCTGAGTTCAAACAACTAAAACGTAGACTCAAGAAAGGTTAAAATACCCTTCATTTTACTCATACGAATAACACTCGTTTGTGTCCCTTCAGGTGTCAGGAGAAAAAAAAGGAAAAAACCATTTTCATATTCAAATTTTGTCCCTGGAACACAAATATCTCAAATGTGCAACTTTAGAAAAGCCATCACGCGGCCACAAAGAAAACTGTTTACAGTGTAAAATCACTGTGAATTTGGCTACACGGCCACAAAGAAAACTGTTTACAGTGTAAAATCACTGTGAATTTGGCTGTGCTGCCTGATAACGATAGTTATACGTATCAATCACTTATTATTAATGTAAAATGCATTTCTTTATTTTTATTTCCTTGTAAAGGAAGTATTGTAATCTCGAAAAATTTCGGATATCATATTTCAACGGAAATATACATTTTGATCATTCCCGAATCCATTTTGGCTACTTTTTCACTTGACGTCTGTAGTTACAGACAACCCCTGGTCACTTGTAGCGCCCATATGTGTAGAGTGGACAGTATGGGGGAGAATACTTACCTCCAGAGGACTATAACCACCATTTCTACAGTATTCTGTTCAAGCTCGACTGGGACCGTAAGGGTACTGTCAAGTCTATCTCGTGCTGTGTGTTCGCTACATATTAAATGATTAATAAAGGTTGTCCTTGGGGATTTCAGCCTTCCAGGATCACCTCTGGAATTGAAGCGTAACTCGTATCAGCACTTAAAAGCCTATGCCTTAGCTCCCTCTTTAGTGTGATATACATACAGGCAGAATAAAGGATTCTTTATTCCAAAGCTGATTGTAAAATGGATTTTTTCATGACGTATGTATCTCGCATAATCCAAAACGTTAGCCGCAAGAGTTGAAGTTTTGCAAATGGGATTGCTATAACATCTAGTTGAGCACCTCCTTTTTTCATTGCAATCAAGAATACCAAAAGTGTAGCAGTGAATTTATATTACACAGTGAAACCTTGGTTCATGAACTTAATTTATTCTTAAAGAAAATTCGCCATAAAAAATATACAAAAACTGAAATAATTTTATAGGAATTAATGTTAAATGAATTAATCCATTTCAGAATCCCAAATCATTGCTTAGAAAAGAGTACCTCTTATTCACGTTCGTAATACAATTAATTGATTAAATTTAACACATGCACAATGTTAACAAATACATAACATTTAACACAAAACAAAACATAAAAAAACTTGTATTAAATTTGACCGCATCTCTAACAATAACAAATTTAAACAAGGAAATCGTATTCCATAAATTATTTGAAAGGGAAATCATATTCCATAAAAATATCATGTAATTGCTGTTTTTCTAATTCCTCCCTCCCTCTTTCTCTTAACACTCCTCACCTATATTTTGAGGATTTTGGGATCAAATAACTAGTAACATTTCCATGAACATCCTCCTTTTTCTGAAGACATTTCCTCTACTGCATGGCTTACTTGTTCTGACCACGAGACATTGCTCATCATCCAAAATATTTTTCGACTGGAAAATTTGTTCATAAACCGATTGGTGCATGATCCAATCTATTTGTGAACCAGGGTCTCACTTTACTTTCCATCCAAACTAGAATGTTATAAAATTTTATTATATTTGTGATTGATTCCAAGAATTATAACCTCATATGAAGCATTTTAGTAGCAATACACATCCACGTTGTCATTCTTTATTCCGAACGTTACTGTGCTTTTCTTTATTAACTGAACACTTATTTCTAAGATAATTTGCATCACTAGAGTCTCAGCACTTAATGAACACTCTCGCTTTTTTGCTTCTTGTACACGTCCACTCTCTAATTCCGTGTTTTCTAATGTTGTTCTTTTCATTTCTATTTTTTATTTTCTTACCTTTCTTTTCCTCAAGTTTAGGATTTTATTTGTTGGTAATTCATCTAATATATGTGAAAAAAAGTCAAGTTTCTTAATCATATCTCTTAATATTGAAAAGAAAATCTAATCAAAGATCCTCACCACAGATTGCCAACAAAACGAGATTTTCCGACAGATGCATTTTGAACTGCCTCCAACTTCAGCTAAAGTGTTCTTGAGCTTTCCTACTAAACAGCTAAACAGCTTTCCACTCTAATAGAATCTGTGAAATACTGTTCATATCCAATTTAAAGGGACTCAATGAACTTTTAAAGTAAGTCTTAAACTGCAGTCTGAAAAGTTTTCATGATTTTTTTCTCAAAAACCAGTTTAAAGGCATTCATTTGAGTACTATCTTTCTTTTCTGGAAGAAATGAAAGAAATTCATAAATTCATAAATATATTCATAATTATATTCATGCTTTTTCCTTTGGATTGGGGTTCAACAATGACCAACTGGTAAAACCATTAAACACAGCTTGATCTGGATTCAAATCTCAGCTAATGGTTTGACTCCAAGGGAGTATTTATGGTTTCCCCCATGTGCAATATGAATACAAACCGATTTTGCTAAAAGATCTCTAGAAAGGCATTCTTTCTCTTAAGTAAATAGCCTTTGAGTGCTTTGCCATAATCTAAATAATCCTAATCCCTTCAGATTGGTTTGTAAATTGTCAACTTATCAATCTCTTCAATGGTTAAAAAACCTAGCTTTTTGGATAATTATTTTACATTGTGTTTAGCCTAAAATCTTTTTTTTTTTTTTTTTTTTTTTTTTTTCCCCCAGATTTTATGCTCTTTTGCCATTATCTATTTTCAAATTAAAATCAAAATTAACTTCAACAAAGCTAACTCTCTCTGAATGGTTTCTTTCCACTTGTCTACCGTGCATTCATTTGGTATAACAAAAAATTTTATTTTACATTTTGTCTTTATATTAAGTTCGTTATTTTGTTTCATTCACCAAACTGAATTTTGGGAGAACTTCTTTAACATTTACTTTAAGATTCAGAATACATGCAACATTTATTTTCATTCATTTTTTCTAGTAACTGTAACATGACCTCTGTGTGTGTGTGTGTGTGTGTGTGTTTTAATACATCTTCTTACAAATGGTTCCCTACAAATACCATTAATAAAATTTCTTTCCAGAATGTACATTTCTTGTCAAACTAACTTAGCATAGTTTTTATGTAGGGTTAATAGAAATTCTAGTTACAGGACAGATGCTCAATATTTGCATTCTCTTAATTTGGTTAGTAAATTTATAACCCACTTATAAAAATAATTTATTCTACTTTTTATTGTAGAACATGAATTAAAGATTTTAATTTTAAAATGCTCTGAAGAGTCAAAATCAAAATTAGTAATAAATTAAATAACCCTCTGAGCAGCGCAGGATTTTAGATTCGTCATGAAGACCGGTATTTAAACAGCATTTTTAATTGAGTTGTAAATTACTTATTTTTGTCTGTATTTTCATAAAAGAAATTCATTCAGATGATATTTACATTATTAAAGAAAGTAAGAAAGCAATACATCTTAAATTATAAGCTAATATATGCCAAGTAGCAAAATTTCTGATGACCGCATAAAGCCGCTCATAACGCTCAGAGTGTTAAAGGAGAAGATTGAATAGCTTGGCAGATTGTATTTTCAATGAATAAGATTTTAGTTAAAAGTTAAGATTAATATGCAAATTTTGACCTAAGACACTCCTCTGAAATAAATCTTCCAAATACAAAAATGTTCAAAATAAAAAAGTAAAAAAAAAAAAAAAAAAAAAAAAAAGAAAATTCAGAGAACTAATTTGTATAATTTTCCCTGTGACACTGAACTAACTCTAGTACACATACCACCATCCTCCCGCGCCACCCCAAATACAGCAAACGACAGTAGTTTGCAATAGTAAGACATGGTTAAGTATTTTCGACTATAGTTTTATTTTTCAGCAATTATTGTTTCATATCAATGGCATTACAAATTAATTTATTACTTTTATAAGGATTTTTTTTTTCATTTAGATCCTTACATGTAAAGCGATGAAAACTTTGAAATAAAAGTTTTAATGTCATATGAATTTTTTACTTCACCCGCAAACTCTCTGTGTAAACTCCATTCCATTTTTAATAAAAAGCAATCTAAGGAAATCTTGTACCCCTCTTTCCTTATTACCTTCTTCTTATGATAATATTTCACAAGGAACTCAGCCTCATCTAGCACTGTAAATATCTAGATAGCATATGCAGTCAGCTTTTGCAATCATAACAAATCATTTGTAATGGCAGTAAGTATTTGGATTTATTTACACTTATAATTCCACAAAAAGGAGTCAATTACTGATATAAATTTAAAAAAAAAAAAAAAATTACCCCGAAGTTTGATGTATTTGAGTGAAAATTCTATCAAATGGAAGATAGTTACACTAAAAGCTTTTAAAAATGTATAACAGAACTAAATATTAAATAAATCAAAATATTAATTAAAATGCACATTTTAGAATTTATTTGAAAAGATTGGATCCTTTTTCATAATTTAAACTACAAAAATTTTAACTATTTCTGATAGTTTAAATGAAAAATTTGTTCATTTCATTACAGCATGAATTTTGGTAACCACTTCATGTCATTCTCTCTTGAAAAGAATGTTTTATCATTAGAAATGTATGTCCTATAACATTTGAATTGTATTTCTACCTATTTATTTAATTAATTTTTAAAAATTAAAAAAGTAAGAATATTTAAAAAGATAAAGGCAAAGAATTAAAATGATGGTTAACAATCATTTACTGATAGAATGATTTACGATACTCCCAAAGCATAATTTAAAAGTCCTGTACAAGTATCACATTAATCACCAAGCAAGTATTGTAAAAATGCTATAAAAATACAGACACAAAATGAAATGAAAATCAAATATTTACTGCAACAAATAATATCAAGATTTCATTTACAAATGTTGGAATTTGTTTCAAAATGCTAAGGCAAAATATAACAGGTGCAATTTGAATTAAATTTCTGTACAAATATACTCTTTGTAAATAATGATACTATACATATACATATATCTCCTATAAAAAATACAATTTGATTTCGTATTATAAAAAAATTAACTTTCTAGTCCCAAAGCTCTACTGATTTGAAGCATGTACTTTGGCTTTAAAGGCAACAGAAACTGTCTTTCATCTGGTATTCGCTCGCACTGGAAAAAGAAAATTTAAATATTTATATAAAAATGTCAAAAAATTAAAAACACATAAAAATTTTGAAATTTTCTGATTATTCACCCCCCAATGATAAAACACCAATGCACTGGCTAAACACATTCGTTTTGCTATCTTTATGGTTCACAAAATCTCATCTACTTCAACAATATATCCATGGCATCTGCAGTTTTGCATTCTCTCTTTTTCAATACAAAACACTTATTTGAGGTAAATACATTAGTCACCAGTTCTGTTGTGTGATAATTCCAATTCTTAACAGAATTTCACAGACATATATTCCTTTGCACAGCAAAAAATAAACTGAATACTTGTTGTAAAGACAATACAGTACTTGCCTTCTGTAGTGACCTTGGCAAAAAAGTTTATTTGGCTTGTATCTGCATTAGCAAGAAACAAATTGTTAGGATCTGTGCATATGGCAAGAAATAAACAGTTACTGGTTTGTGTGCATGCAAGAAACAAATGGTTAAATATCCAACTGGTTTTTCATAATTCCATTTTGCCAATATAATGGGTTTTTAATTGTATTTTCATTGTTTTGGAAATGTATAATTCATATAGATAATGCATGAATTGCAAATTTATCTTTTACCATAATCAATTTTGTTTTCATGGATGTTTACAAAATTTGGTAACAAATCATGTTTTCCCAAGGATGAATTGGACCAATGTGGTCTTCTGTCACCAAGGCCACTACAGAGGACAAATATTAAACTTTATGGTTATTTTGAAACTATTCTGGAAGTATAACTTCACAGAATGCAAAATTTTTGCACTTTGTTTTGGGCAAAATGCCATACATCTGAAGAAATCAAATGCTTTTTGTGTGGTATGCACAAGCATTTATTGGCTATCGTTCAAGTACACTCAAAAACATCATGATTTTACCAATGTCGAAAATGAGATTGTAGATAATCAGAAAGTGAGAAAATATTTTTATAGTTACAACTTGAATTAAATTTTTACAATTTAGTCCAAGTTGCATACTTGAATTAAATACACTAATGCATACATACACAGTGCCTCTTAACTTTTGGCAACAGATATGGTATTACTCATCCAAAATTAAAGTAACCATGTATAATAATACTATCTCAAAATGTGCTCGGTGAATATCAATAAGCTTTCATAGGGATTAACATAGCAATAAAAAGATCATGTCACTAAAGAGGTCATTATGAAAAACATATGTCAACAAATCTCATTCTTCAGAGTGGATTTTGACGCATGGGAAAAAGTCGAAGAAGATTGTTAAGTTCCACCTAGAACATGTTATACATGCTCTCCTGAACTGAGATCTAGAGATCAGACTTAGCTGGCTATGCCATAAAATAATTATCTTCTTCTTTTAGGAAATACTAAAGCACTACCAGTGGACAAGCAGTTAAAACTGCCCAGCGCTGGGAATTCAACTCGGGTTCAATATCAACTAAACACGGTAGGTTTTTGTAATGCAAATACAGAGCATTACAAAACATGTGCAATGCAAATATGAATCAATTTCCCTTAGCAAATTATCCATGAAGGCATCCTTTCCCTCAGATAGATAGCATTGTCTGCTTAAGCTGTATTTAAATAACCAAAATCCTTTCAGGAAATACTAGACCAGATTAGCTATCAAATTAATAATATTATCTTTCATAAGTATTAACTTGGGCCTAATAGTTCTTGAAAAGCCTCACATAAGAGGAAAAGCTCTCAAACTTAGCACTGCACAGTTACACTCTCCTAATTAAAAGATAAGCAACAACATAAAACCACCCATTCTGACATCCTCATATACACTCATGTCCATAAATTAAGGGTAATTCGAAGTCACGCGGAAATCGAACTCTAAAATAAATATATCACCTGCAAAATCACTACACACATCTTTAAGAATCATATACAAATTTCAGGAAGTAACCAGATGACACTGATGGTACGTCACAATGACGAGAGTGTATGAGATAATAGGAATACAGGCAAAGAAAAAATTGTTCGCCGCGCTTTATAAGCATTTCAGTGCAATAACCAAATAGTTATGACACAAAGGACGCATTTGGATGATTTTTTACGTGGTAGAATTATCGGCCGTCTGGAATGTGGTCGTACCCAACTGGAAGTATCAGACGAACTTGGAATTGCTCAGAGTGTCATCTCCAAGCTTTGGCAACGATTTCAAGATGATGGTAATGTGAGTAGACATTACAGCACAGGTCGAGTTACAAAGCCTAATAAGGCACCTAGAGTTACAACGCCTAATGAGGACCGGTATTTGGCAGTTACTGCCAAAAGAAACAGGCGGAGCACAGCCTCAGACCTGTCTCGTCAGCTCTCTTCAGCCACTGGTAGGACAATTTCAAGGCATACCGTGTACAGACGCTCAGGGCAGATTGGTCTATATGCTCGTTGACCTGTCAGATGCGTTCCACTTACTGCAACTCACTGTCGCCTGCGGTTAGCCTGGAGCAGAGTATGTTGGAGTGTGAGTATGATTTCGACAAAACATGTTTGTATTGATTCTTTTTTTCATTTTAGTGCAATTGATCTCGACATTTCAGGACTTGTTGTTACCACCAGAAAACATCTTGAAAGAACCGTTACGGTGGTGCAGGAGTGCTCATTTGGGGTGGCATTAGAATTATTCTGGGTTCCAGAACTTACCTACATGTTCAAATTGGAACCATGACAAGCCAAATCTATCGGGACGTCATTCTGGAACAACATGTACGTTTGTTTCGGTGCATTTGTGTTTATGGATGACAACGCCCGTCCTCACCGTGCAAACATCCTAAGCAAATGCCTTCAATCGGAGGATTACCCATATGGACTGGCCAGCATTCTCACCGGACTTAAATCCAGTAGAGCATATGTGGGACATGCTTGGCCGACGAGTTGCAGCCCGTCAACCTCCTCCTACATGTCTACCGGAACTTCGGAGAGCATTGCTTTTTGAGTGGTGTAATATCCCACAAGATCCGATCGATAATTTGATACTCAGCATGCCTAGGCATTGTACGGACTGTATTGCATTGTCTGGGAGACATACAATGTATTAACAATCATACCAACCATGTAATATTGGTTTTTTGTAAATAGGTTATTTTTTGTAATTTGCTCCAAGGAGAAAAAAATCGCTAATTTTTTTAATAATATCAAACATATAGCATCTTTTTTTTGCTCTTTACCTTTTGTTTAATAAATAAGTCAAATTTGTTTTGCTTCTAATTCTTCCTTTGCCTGATTTTGCATTATCCTTAATTTATGGACATGAGTGTATTTGGATGCTTCACCACTGCAGTCTAGTTCCCTTAGGTCAGAAAGATAGCAGTGTGTTCACATATTGAGAAATCCTTTATATACTGCATTTCAATTGATTACAGAAAAGAATAGGATATTACTGTGTCTTCAAATTATGTTTACAAAGATGGACTTCTTCTACGGCAAGTGGGTTGGTTGCTAAGCAAACACCTCTTTTTTGTTAATACCTACACACATTTTAACTAAGATGTCAATTTCCAATCAAATTTAGTTATAAAAAATGATGAAAACTACTCTAAATGAGGGAAACAGAACTTTCACAAATTAAGTTTAATTAAATCAATAAAATTCATTCATTGCTGGAAAACATTTTCCTTAGTGAAAAGTGAAAATAAAAAACGAGATATTTGATGATCTAACAGGAGACTGACAGTTGTGAGATAGGGAGAAAACGAAGTCCTTCCCTACAACCAGGAGAACTGCCAGTTATTGCATATCTATTAGACATGTACACTTCAAAAGAAATTAATTTAAAGTTTACAGTATGCCATTACTAACAATATATATAACTGCTGTCGATATTCCCTACTTGCAAGGCATCTAATTTAGAAATTCTTACATACCAATTCAGAAATAATTAACTGAACAAGATCCTATCAACAGATATAATGACATAGGCGTTCACAATACTTCCTATTTTGACAGGCTATTTTCTCCCATAATAGAATGAAAATAATAATGTGTATTTCCAAGTATTAATGGCAATACAGTTAAAAAAAGAAAGTACTTACATTTGATTGAGTATTATTATTAAATTTTAAAGAAATATCAGGCACTGATGAAATTTCAAGTTCAACATTTGTTTCAACTGCTGCAAAATCCCACGGTTTTTGCCTTGACTGCCAAAGTAATGGGAAAATGTGTCCCTCTGTAGTGAACACGTAGTGACTAGCCATCTTATTAACTGGATTATCTACATCAAAAAGCTGCAAAAGTGTAAAATATAGTTATAAAAATATTGAAATAGTACATATATACACATTCACAGTATCTGAATAAATATCAGCCAATGTAAAATTTAAAACTATCAGAAGCCAATAATAGCATTATCTCGTTTGGTTTTCTGAAAGAAAAACTACTCAAATTTTATCACTAACAGAATACACACACAATAATGAAGTAAATGTGCAAACATTTAATTTAGATGTACTGCTTTGGCTCTTTGATAAATGTCAAAGTGGTACTTAAACTTACTCAAGATATTCTGTAAAATTTGAAATATCACAGATTCCCAAGCAACAACATTTCTTTCTCAAAGACTGTCAATACTAGGCACACGGTATTTTGATGCTGCCAAAAAAAAAAAAAAATTAAGTCTAGGAAATCAAACTCAAGAAACCTCAAAGGCCAATGAATAGCACCTCCCTTTTCAAATCTTTGGAAATTTGTTGTCTACAAAATTGGTCATCTAAGGTACAGAATAACAATTCACCTATATTTCTCTCATAACTACATCTTTAAAAACAGAGGTTAAGATTACAAACTCATGGGTTAATGCGTGCCACACATGCATTTTGATTTGTCTCCTATTGATTATGAAATATAAGTTTATTTTTCAGAAAAACAAACCTAATTCTCAAAGTATTTAATTATCAGTTACTATGAGCTGATAAATTATTAATTAATTAATAATTAATTATATTAATAAATTTTTATTAGTAAATATTTATTTGGATATCTTGTACATATTCAATTTTCTAAGAAATAGGTATCAATTGCTACTAGTTAATGTAAAACACGATTGAACCAAACTCCCTACATGATTCAGCATTATAGCCATTAAAGACTTACTAAATATAAATATTTGCATGTTTCACTTAAAAAGAAACTCTCCATCCTATCTTCTAATGTTTTGTCTTGTACATTATGTATAGTGGCATATCCACACCTAAAACAGAAAAAATAATTAAATTAATATCACAACAGGATAGCACTTCACATAGTATATTACATTCATGATATTTCACACAGAAAACCTTTAATCTGCCAATAATCAAATGCCATAAAAAGAAGGAAACAAACTGAAATGCTAGGGACACTAATTATAAAGACTAATGTTTCATCCACAAAATAAAATCAGCAGTTACAAAATAACTATTCTGAAATGTCAATCAGATTCTAAAAATTTTAAATCATAAGCATATCAAAATTTGCCAACCAGATATATATATACAAACAGTACACAAATACTATTGTAAAAAATAAAATAAAAAATAAATAAATCAGACATCAGAGAAAAGAAACAATTGGGCAATACAATTTTGCTAATTTTTTAGTTTTACCGTTATTAATTGAACATTAATTTGTGAAATTATACCAATTTGCCTAATTGTTTCTCTGATTTCTAATTAGAATTTTCTATTTGTTTAGGGTAACACAGCAGCAGATTATATCTCGATGATTTATTTAAAAAAAATTAAAATCTTTATATTTTATTTTATTGCCTTCCTTTTTAGTATCATAAGAAAATTTTAAAGGTCTTACACTATTTTTATAAATTAACTTAATCTGCTTTTTATTTAGAACATATGTTTGAATTATTTCATGGACTTATAATCATCCAAATATAATTCAGAAATATAGCTCTGTTCAAAATTTTTCAGCTGTTCTTTGAAAAAGACCAATAATTTTCAACTATTTGTTATTATTATTATATTATTTTATTAAGTTGTTTTGGTTTCAATTTAGACATATGTTCATTCTGTTAGCCTGTTAACCATCAGGTTTAATTTAATTATTATATCTTGATATTTATATATATATATATATATATATATATATATATATATATAAACACACATTTTTATCTCTAGAACTTTTTTCTAAATGAAAAAACTTCTGATTTATGTGAAATGATCTGAATGAAAAAACATCTGAAATATTTTCATTTAAGGTCTTGTATATAAATATATTTGATTCACTAACCACATGTACTAACTTCTGGAAGGGAAAAGTTTACTCAAAGATGAAAAGAGATCACACTGCAATGCAGGATCAGAAATGCCATCAATATGTGCAGGAATCCTGAGAACACAAGAAATGAAAGAACAACACATAAGTGAAGAAGATCATTTTACCCATTAATATGATATATTGGAACCAAAAACCAGCGATGACACTCGTCGGCAGAAGTTCTCGATAGGGTTCAGGTCTGGACTCTGGGCAGGCCAGTCCATTCGATGAACTCCATTGGCACCATACCAAGCCTTGGTTAATGTCGAAACATGACAACAGGCATTGTCATCCTGAAAGTAACAGAGGTCCAACTCGTAAAACTGCCACAACGTAGGAAGCACATTGTCATCCAAAATAGTGGAAGCACATTGTCATCCAAAATAGTGGAAGCACATTGTCATCCAAAATAGTGCAGTAGGCAACGAAGTTCAGCTTACCATGAATGGGGACCAAGGGTCCCAGCCCATACCAGGATAAACCCCCAGACCATAATTCCACCTCCGCCGAACTTGACTGTTGGCACAATGCATTCTGGCAGGAGACGTTCTCCAGGTAGAAGCCAGACCCAGACTCTGCCATCAGAACGGTAAAGGGTAAACACCTTGATTCGTCGCTCTAAAGAACCCGTTTCCACTGATCTATGGTCCAATTTCGATGTGCTTTGCACCACATTAACCGATCAGAGCGGTTGGACTTTGTGATCAAAGGCGTATGAGCAGCAGCACGACCATGAAATCCAAGCAGATGTGCTTCCTTACGGATGGTATTCACTGAAACAATACTCCCGTATGCCTGTTGAAACTCCTCGCGGATGAGGGCCATCGGTTGGGTGCGGTTCTTCTGAATTTCTCTGGACTGCACTCGTCGGTCTCTATCTCCCAGTTTCTTTGATTTGCTGACTCGGGGCATATTCCGACAATCACCGCTCACGTTCCACTTCTTAATCACATAGGCCACTGTCGATTTTGGGTACTTCAGATCGCTAGATATGTCCCTTAAGGATCAGCTACATTTGTGATACCCGATAATTATACCTTTCTCGAAATCAGAGAGCTCCGAACTGCGAGGCATCTTGCATGCGACTAAAGCCAATGCTATTTTCTACATCATATATACCGGCGGAGTCCGTGACGTACCTTAGGACTGCAGATATCATCATTTGCATAGGTGTCCAAATACTTATTGGTAGTCAGTGTATATGTGTCTATGCATATATATATAGGAAATACATGTGTATATGCATATATATATATAAGAAAAAACTGCTATTAAATTTATGGTGCTGAATTATTAGAAAATCAAAATTTCGTTTCATTCAAACTTGAATGCAGATTACAGGCAATTACAGATTAAGTAACTGCAGATCATTAAATTTTACTTTACAGATTAAGTAACTGCAGATCATTAAATTTTACTTTACAGATTAAGTAACTGCAGATCATTAAATTTTACTTTACAGATTAAGTAACTGCAGATCATTAAATTTTACTATGTTATTTTTAAGACAGAAAGAATAAATAAAAAATGTAAGGTTATTTTAAGGGATTATATACAGAGTAGATTATAGATTTGCATTATATGAGACAACTTATTACAGATTTTCTAGATTAGCTGCTATACATAATTAAATTAATAAAAATTACACAAATGATTCACCAGAGCAGTAGAAAAGGACCTACTTAGCTTTGGAATATTTATTTAAACTCTCAATTATTTCTTGGCCAACATGTAAATAGAAAGGATTCTTGGTTGCTTGATACAGAAGATACGTTGACTCTATAAGCTCTGGACGCAAAGGATAGAATGCCAAATCAGGACTAACTCTCTGCCAGTTAAATCGTTCAGGAAGTGCTCCAAAGCGTCTCCAAATAGAGTAGTAAAGAGCATGGCTACAAATAGCTTCTTCAATGTCTCCAGTAAGAACCTTCATTTTCATGTTAAGAATCAGGATATTTTTTATTGCATTTATGAAAAGAATAACAATGAAAAATATATTTTTGCAACAAGTTTTAAGAAAGCTATTTCAATATAAAAAAATCAGATTTGAATTTAACACATATTCCCTATTCGTAAAAAGCTAATATAAATTTAAAATTTAATTAAGAAATTTTAATAGCAAAAATTTTTTTTAATTAATTATTGCTGCGAACTAATTTACAATATCATTTAAATTCTAAGAGCATATAAAAACCTTAACTCAATTTTTGGACAGAAAAATTTTAAAAACTAGGAATCTAAATGGTATTGCTAATTTAATTCACTAAAAATTTGAAAATTTAAAATGAACTATTGATAATAAAAAAGATACTGCAAGTTAAATTTTTTAATAAGGTTTATTAAAAAAACGAAGTGCAAAATTATTTAAAAGGAAACCAAACTATTAGAACTTGAAAATGTAGTAGTTACATTTGAAAAAAGTGAACTCAAACAAGGTAATTATCACTAAAATCTGCTAAAAATGAACTCAAACAAGGTAATTAGCACTAAAATCTGCTCAGTACAAAGTCCGTAATCCGGACTCGTCGGGACTTGGCGATTCCGGATTAGGGGTTTTTCCGGATTATAGATCATCAATTTAAATCTGGTAAAATGGCATGCAGAAACTATACAATTAAAAATATGAAACCGTAATTTATGAAATAAAGAGCTATTATAATCTAAAACGTATCTAATTTTTTTTAAAAAAAAAGCTTAATATTTATTTGTTTACTTTATTAAACATTTCTTTTAATGCACGCATGCGTAATGTATGCGCATTCTTTACGTGCATGCATAATCTATGCGCATTCTCTATGGGCATGCGTAATGTATGCGCATTCTCTACGGGCATGCATAATGTATGCGCATTCTCTAGGCGCATCCGTAAAGTTTGTGGCTTTGAGGTCCGGATTATAGATCATTCGGGATAATGGACGTCCGGATTACAGACTTTGTACTGTACAAACAAAATTGTTTCACAAGAATATTGTAAAGTTAAATTTAAATAATTCTCTTGCACCATTGCTGCAAGGAATGAAATTTTGAATTTAACAGATATTCTCTATTCATAAAAAGCTCATATAAATGAAAAATTTAATTAAAAAATTTTAATTGTAACAAAAAATTTTAAAAATTCATTATTGCTGCCAACTAATTTACAATATCATTTAAATTGTAAGAGCATACAAAAATTCTTAACTTGATTTTTGGACAGAAAAATTTTTAAAAACTGGGAATCTAAATCGTACTGCTAATTTAATTCACTAAAATTTGAAAATTTAAAATGAACTATTGTTATTAAAAAAGATACTGTAAGTTAAATTTTTTTAATAAAGTTTATTAAAAAAACTAAGTACAATCAAATAATTAACTTCAAATATTAAAAACTGAGAAGTTCTCGCACTCTAACCCGGCAGTTTCAAGGAAGTTCCTTTTTATAATGCAGGATTCAGGTTATTCAACTATTTAAAATATGATTTTTGTATAAAATATATGAATAATTATATTTAACCAGTCATTCTGTGTTCTTAGGCTAATTTCATTTTTAAATTTCATTACACTTTTATACTGAAATCTCAAATAAGAAAGGAAAACTTTAGTTCATCAAACTACTTCTAAACACTGAAAATAAAATTAATAATTAATACACCTACTATTATGTGGATAAACCTAGCCTTATCATATATTGATATAAAACAAATAATACACAAATATTAATTTATTAAACATTCGTTGAATCTTTATAAAAATGTTCTAGAAAGGCCTGCAGTGTATTAAAACAATTCAAATCAAATGCAAATTTAATAAGAAAAATTATGCAGAAATACTCTAGGGGCATGCATTTGTGTTTCATTAACTCAATAAATTTCATTTGCTGCCAAAAAACACTTTTCTTGATAAAAATAAAATTGGAAAATTCAATCTATTTTCTGGATATTTTTTCTGCAGTTTTTTTTTCCTACCGTGAAAGAAACTTCCCAAGTTCGATTTGTCTGCTCTAGTACTTTGAATCAAATCTGGACATTTACTTGCATATAACAACATAAATATTAAAGAGAGGTATTACATTATATAAGCAATAAGCTTACATATCAAATTATGCACCTAATGACATACTAATGATGATATGCTTAAAAATCAACAAATTATCATTTTCTAATTAATGTAACAAAAATTCCCTCCTTCTCTTTTGATAGAGCCTAGTAAAATACTTTTAAGATATATTTTTGGAATTTTAATATTTACAAAACAATTTTACTTTACAGTTATTAAAATACTATGATGTTTATATATATTACCTGCACTCCAGCAAATGCAGCCTGTAGAGAATCAATCCAAAGAGTCAGCGTACTTCCATCTATCATATTCACATTTACATACAATGGATGTTCACCATATCCATGGTTACAATGAGGCCTCCTGACAACAAAAATATGAAAGCTACTGTGACATTAAAGTTAACTTTCCTAGTATCATAACTCAAAATTTAAATATAGTATCATAACTCATAATTTATATTGAGGATCACTAAAAATATCTATTTTTAAAATACAGAAATTAAATTGTATTTTATTATAAATAAAAGAATATTTTAAATTAAATAATATTTTTATGAGAAACTTACTAAAATGTTATTGATAATAAAAGTCAGGAACAAAATAAGACAACTGAAAAAGTTTAATAGAAATATGGAAGATACAGCAGAAAGACTATCAACTTAATTTTGTTCTGTTAATTTTTCATTTCAGCATGCTAACAAATTAAAAATTTGAAAAGCTACAGGAAAATTTTCATCTCAGATTAATTCAAAACTTGCCCAAAAAATTTAATGTTACATGGTCATAGGCGACTTATATGCTTCTTAATTTCGCAGTAATCTGTCATATGATGTAGAACCTTGTATAATAATATCACCTCCTAAACAGAATATACAAATTAGCATCATCTCTAAATTTAGGATACCATTATTACATGCAAATTATAATTGGTATAGTTTGTAGCTGAATGGTGAAGAAATGCTGTTAATTAAAGAAGAAACAAAAAAAAATTATATGTTATGTTTGTAATTTATATGTCTTTTAAAATATAAGTAAAGAAACCTCAAGCTGAAGTAAGCCTTAAGCTGAAAATTGTAACATAGTTCAGAGCTAAGACAGATTTTTGTCAGCATGATGAACAAGCTGCTAAGATTTTAGGTGTACATTATCAAAATATCAGTAGACTAAACTTTGCTACAAACAACACACACATTAAGGCCAGTGATATCATGCATAGCTTTGCCATAGCAGCTCACAAGATGAAATATCTTGTGGTCTATCCTATCCTATCTTTAGCAAGGATTTCAATATCCAGGAGCTTGAGGACCTGGTACACATTGGCCTGGACCTGGCGCACACAGGCAAATGATAGATAATTTAGGACTTAGTGGGAGACAAACATTCCTTGAAATTATAAATGCTTCCTAGAAATTAGAGCAGCTTCCTCATGATTCGAGAAGAGCTTTAGTTGTCCCTATAAGAAATCCCAGCAAAGATGCTAATTCCCTGGGCAGCTTTAGACCAATTGCTTTGACCTACATAGCTTATAAAGTTATGGAAAAAATTATTTTAAAAAGACTTACTTTTTATTTGAATTCTCACAACCTTCTGCAGAAGGAACACTGTGGTTTTAGAGAGGGACACTGCACAATAGATCAAGTATTTTATTTCTGTCAGAAGATTAGAGATGCTCATAATAGAAGATCTACTAATCACACTATAGCAGCCTTCCTTGATTTATCTAAGGCAAACAGACTAAATAAGGATGCAGTTTAACAAACACCCTTTCAATGAGATTTAGACAGTTCAGCTTAGCATTGCTTGAATTATTACTGGTCTTCGGAATTCTTGCCCCAATGACATTGTGTTTTATGAGGCAGATCTGCAACCAGTGGGTCTTAGAAGAAGTCTTTATCTTGTTAAATACAACAATAAACCGTGTAGTCTAGGTTCTCAGAATCGAGTTTCTGATTTCATTGGGACTTGGCACAGTAATCAAAGGCTTAAGAGAAACAGTTCATTTAGTAAAGTAAATGCTTATACTCTAGCTGGTAGTGCTATGGAAAAGTACCACATGACACAGTGTATCGATCCTTCAGAGGGTTTCTCTGATCCATACTAACCTATCTGTTCACATAAACAAACAAAAGTATCTGCCTGATTATTTAAAGCAACAGGCTCTCGAAAGAATTAATAATATTCCAGTGGATGCTGTTTAGGTGTATATGGATGGTAGTAAAAATCATAGTGATATTACTGGCAGTGAAATTTACATGAAATCACAAAATCAAGAGATAAACATTCAGATCAGGACTGCTGATGTCTTTCATAGTGAGCTAATTGTCATAAATGAGGGCCACAATTCTCTTGCATCGCTCACTGATGGAAGAGAAATTTGGATTCTGTCTGATATCAGAAGTTCTATTCAAACTTTGCCTGTTGGCATATTGTGAGAGATAATATAGGTGTGTATTATTATTAAAAAGCTAAAACACCTTTCCTTGTCTCATCAGATTCACCTACAGTGGATCCCTTCCCACATTGACATTTTGGGCAATGAGATTGCAGACACCCTGGCTAAGGCAGTGCTGGAGATGCCTTGGTGCCATCTATGCCTCTCACCTACAGAGCTTTCTTTCTATGATTAAGTGCAGGAACAAAACCACTTGGCCTGATCCACCGGTACACTTCTGGTATCAGAGTAATCGGCCAGGTGGCTCTCTGGCACTTGATTGCAACATGCAAAATCAAACCACTCTTACCTGCTTCCTCAGATGCCATCTTAGATCTTTGACATTTGTTTTAGGGATCCTGAAATTTTTTGTTCTGATTTTTTTAGGGTACACATTGTTATGAACCTGATTTAGCCCTGCTAGTCTTTGAGGATGAGCAACAACATTTTTTTTTTTTTTTTTTTTTTGATTTACTAAAAAGATTTTATGTTCCTAACAAAAACAAAACTTTTAAAATATAAATAAATAAATAAATAAATAACAAATCAGAAGGATTACATGATGCCTTTTTAATGTAGTTTGTATACAAAAGAGTTCAGTTATACTAATTGAAAGAGGCACATTAAAATCTTACTAGCAATTTATCATAAATATGAACTGATAACAAACAAATTGATAATCTTAATTTATAAAAAATGGATATTAATACATACGCATATGCACAATAACATGCTACGGTTACTAATGCTCTTACGATAATGACAATGGATATTTATCATTCATTATATAACATGTATTTCCAAATACTTATGAAATATATTTATATGGCAACTAAATCTGGCCTTAAGATAAATTACATTCATAAGATGTTTGTGAATTAAAATGCATTTAAAAATAAATTAAAGAGCTATCAATAAATTTTATCAAACTTATGAGTCTTCCGATTCACTACTAAATAGCAAGAAAGATTCTAAATCCTAAAGAAATTCTGAAGGCATAAAAAGTTTAAATAAATACAGCTTTTCGACAATAACTTTTTAGTTTTAAATAAAATTACCACTAATTGTTATTTCTTCCTAGTATTTACATTAAAATATTCAAATTAACTAAAAAAACTGAAAATTATAATATATATGTTAGTTTTCCATTTGGATCATATGACGAAAGGTCTTGTTTACACAAACAAAAATTGCTAAAAATGAAAAGTATTTAACATACTAAAAATATTTTACTTTTAATTATTGACAGTGACATTCATAAAATCAATATATTTTATTTAAGTTGATAGTTTAAACCAATTGTGATGAATAATTGATTATATGTATATTTATTCTTTTACAAGACTTAACTTATCTATATATATTCAAGATATTTTTTACTGCCAGAACTGAAACTAATAAATTAGATTCATTCATTTCCAATAAGCGTCAGTTGTATTTTATTGCATTCATTTATGAAACAGCAATAATTTAAAATGGAAAATATTTATTAAAGCACGTAAAAATAGCAAAATAAATATGGAATTAATTATGATTACTTTTAGTATGCCTCTTCAAAAGATATATTTAAATTAAAAACTAAAATTTAACTAATTTCTTATTTCGTTAGGAGGAAACCCTCTTTGAAAAATAAGTAAAATTTTTTGTTTGTCTATTAACATATAAAGGTAACTATATCATAGAAATTTTATACATAAGGCCTAAAGAAATATATACATGTTTTCATTTTAATTTATTAATATTGAATTTTGTATATTACAATAAGACTATTCACGCAGTTAATAAAACCTTTTGCACGAGTACAAAATAAAAGTGGTTAAAAAAACATGAGCGTAAAATGTATCTGGTCTTTAAAAAAAAAAATAAAAAAATTGGACATTTGAAACTTTTATCCACCGCCTCTAAAATTAATATATATGAATATTATTAATACAAACCCTTTTCGCATATATCTTTTGATAGTGTGGTAAGTTTCATTGAACATTGAAAAGTCTTCCTTCTCTCCAAATAAGATATATGACTATAAAGAAACAAAAATGTTCTCATGTTTCCAATCTATTATAATATGATAGCAACAGTGACTTTTGAAATTACTGTCTGTGTAATGATACAGGCTTATGAGAAAGTAGTTTATTACTCTCTCAAAATAACAGTTTTTCAATACCGTTCTGTAATTCTGGAGATGTTCAACTTTCACTGTTTCTTCATATCTTCTACATATTTTTTTTAATTTTATAATTGGATAAATTTAGCTGCATATCAGTATTATAGTCTCCTTTAAGTAATCCCATAGAGATCCCATAGTCTCCTTTAAGTAATCCCATAGAGATCCCATAGTCTCCTTTAAGTAATTAGTAAGATTATGAATGCTAATAAAAGTGGAGTAATTCAAGTATTAAAATCTTCATGAGACCCGAGGTAAAATAATTTTTGGTATTTCAAGCCTAATCTAACTATTTCATTTAATAATAGTCTTATAGACAATATGTTGGAAAAATATGTGCTTTTTACAAATTACACATCAGAAAGATTCTCAATTTTATATGCTTATTCATCAATTTTAGTGCTTGAATGTCATTTTGCTCAGTATTTCATCCCATATAATAAGTTAAATTGAAAATATTTCAATATACTACAGTAGAATATAAAAAATAAAGTTGTTTTTTTAAACAACATTCCATGATATTTTATTATTTTCTATACTTCCTCTACCTTAAAATAAGTGTCATATTGCATATTTTTATTTTGAATTGTTTTTCTTCAACTCAAAAATAAACTGATTAATGAAGACAACATTTGTTAATGGTATGACACATTCTAAGAAATTAAGATTAACTTTTAAATTTTAAAATGTCTGATAAAGAAACTGAGAAATGAAACTCTTAAAAGTGCACAAGCTATGATTTGAAAATATATGAAGATGAAACAGATATATGAAAATTTCAGATCAAGAAAGTATGAATACAAACGAAAAGCAGAAACACAGCTCTTGCACTGCTGCTTTATGGTTTTTAGGACAACACAATGAAAATTTTTAAAAAAATGTGGTATCATACTAACAGCACACAAGGAATTAAGTGTCCAAAAATCTAAAGAATTTAAGAATCCTAAAACCATATTAAAAACCAAACTGCTTTTAACCTGTAATATTTAAGGATGTTAAAAGCATGTTAGAACAAAAACCATCCCTGAAAGATTTTGCTGCCATATTGTACTAAGAATTATACCAAAAAGTAAACATGATAAACACTAGAAATGACATAATAAATGATGAATTTTTCTTGTATACAATGAGAACACCCAAAAATAATATGGAACAAAAAAGGAAAATAATATGGTTTAAAATAAAAAAGAACAAGAAAGCAAGAGCTACAGATGAGGAGATGAGTTGAGCAACAGCAAATAAAAAAATATAAAGCATAAACATGCATAGCGGTAAAGTGGAAAAGTTCAACTGTTATGTACCATAACGGCATAAATTAGATGCCTTTTTCATCTAATAAATGTCTTTGCTTCTTATAATGCATCTCTAATAACTTACTTTTAAGCTTAAATAAAATGAATATTAACACTACAGAAAAGCAGAACGACTTATACTACAAATAATAAATTCAATAGCATAGCTACATTCTAGGAAAATGGTAAATAGCAGTTACCCTATTCATCAATTCAAAGTTCAATTTAAGGGTACGGAATTTAAAAGAACTTGGCTTGAATTTAAAAGAACTTGGCCGGAATGCATATTTTTTCTACTGAAAACAGTAAAATACCTCAAAGACTGAAAATGTTATTTTGTGATAACTGCTGCATTTCCTATACATTTTCTATCATATACATTTACTTTTACAAGTGAATCATTGTTTCAACAGACAAATACGCAATCATAGATATAAGTAACAATGAAAAGATTGGGTTTTAAAGAAAGTTTCCCACCACCAGAAATATCATCTGCTCAAACAGTTCATGTTGCCATGTTTACTCAGTTTTTGTCAAACGATTTTCGGCATTTGAAAGAAAGAAACTTGCTTTAGAATACTGTGTTATGAAATTTGTACAGAAATATTGTTATAATTAAGTACAAGGTATCTGAAATGAAATTATGAAGCTACCAGATTAGAACGACCATTTACTGCCAATTCTGACGCAAAAAGTCAGCTACAGAATGCCACCAAATCATGCATACAGCTTTAGGTACTATTGTTGTATCATATGACACTGTGAAGGCTTGGTACTGAAACTTCAAACACGAGAACTTCGATATTTAAGAAGCAAAGCGCTTTGGCCAACCTACTAACATTGATGACGGCTGCCTGCAAGAACTTGTAGAAGAAGACTAGTATGCAACCACTCGAGCACTTACTAAGGAGTTAGATGTTAGTGCCATGTCCATCAGTCACACTATGCATTGCATAAACTTGATGTGCAAGTTCAACTGTTAGGTACCACATCAGCTGATACAAACAGATAAAGGTAGGCATGTTCGGGCCTGCACTAATCTGCTTGAATATCAACACAAAGACAAATTCTGAACTGGATTGTCACTTGTGATATAAAGTAGATTTACTTCAACAACACAGACAGAAAAGGGCTTGGTCTACGCCTAGTGAGCCTGTCGCAGCATCGCAAAATGCAATTTGAATAACAAAAGGATCATGCTTTCTATGTGGTGAGATTGCCATGGTATTATCCATAAGGAGTATCTGTAAGAAGGTAAAACTCTCAACAGTAAGGAGTACAGCAAGATGCTGCTCAAGATAATGCAAGAAAACATGCATTTGCATTCACCAGCTCTGTATGGACTCGAATGGGATCTTTTACCACTCTCATCATATATCCCCAGCATCGCTCCTTCAGACTTATACTTTTTTTCATGCCTGCAGGTACATATTGCTGATGCTGTCTTCCATTCTGCACAGAACATCCAAAATGAGGTTATCTGTTTTTTGAAAAGTAAACATGATAAACACTAGAAAATAAACATGCAGCCACCCAATTTCTGTGCCAAAGGCTTTGAAAAACTACCAAAACGCTGGTAGAAAAGCATAGATTTAATTGGTGATTACTACCCGCACTAAAGGTATTGCCTTCATTTTTTTTTTTTTTTTTTTTTCCCCCTAACTTTATGAAAAACATTTTTTGGCAGAAAACTTTCATTACAACCAGATACCTACAGCAGTTTAACAGAAGTAACTGTTGTAAAAACACTCAATGGTACTGGATATGTATTCCTTTTATTACCTCCAAATATGTCAAATGAGAATCTTCCATTTTATTATAATGTAAGTTTTTAGGAACACAGAAAAAATTATTTTTAATCAATTCATAATGTGTTTGTTATTAAACAGTATTAGCTCAGAATCTTTTAATAATAATAATTCAGAATAAGCTAGTTTGATGGCTTTCAACCAGTATGATTACACAAAAAGTGCTTGTTGCAAACATAATAATTTTTAGACATGAATTTGGAACATAACAAATGATAACATTAAAAAACAATTAATGACATGAAATATTATGCACATTATTAAAAACTGAGCATAAAATACATAAATTTATTTACAGTCCATTAGCAATGTTTAAGCAGAACTCTTTAACTCTTTCCATAAGGTTACAAATCATCACAAAGCATAATCAATGCATACAACATCCAATACAAAAATGCACTAAGACAGATGCCATACATATAGAATGAAAGAAATTTAAGGAATATTTTAACTTTAATGATGGAATTAAGAATATGAAGGATGTTTCAAATTTCTTAATGGAAGTAAGTAAGCAAATTAAAACAAGCAAAAAATTTTGCTTCTTTTCATAAACAATATAATTTTGTCTTTATTAATACTAAAAGAATCAATAAACATTCCAAAATCCTGACTTTAATAGTTTTCTGTAAATCAGGCTTAGTGGAAGAACTCTGCTTTCCTTTAAAGCAAAATTATTTGTAGCAGCCTCCATTTAGTTAATAACGGAGAAACTTCTCCATGTCCAAATAATTAAGAAAATATACATTCATATTACATTACATGATTGCATTCATAACACATATTACTACTTTACATGAATTTTTATACAATGTATATATAATTACATTATATACACATTCATATTACTTATGCGACATTTGCATGATGTGGTGTATAACTACTTCTCAGATACTTTGATATTTGTTAAAAGGCATGCCGATTTTATCTTTAATGTCCTCCTTGCAGTTTAGCATTTCCCACTACTTTTTCATTCTAAAAATGATAGCATACAGTAGACTCTCACAAACTTATCTTAATGTAGACTAAGAGGATATCAGATTACTGTAAATGTTACTTTTTAGAGTAGAAGTGATGGTTATTTCACACCTCATAATATTCCGTCAAATACCTAAATCAAAAGCTATTTCATTAATATATTTCTCTGTTTTCTTTCTCTTAAGGCACATAATTTCATTTCCATTATCCTGTTAAATTGTGTTTTTTTTTTTTTTTTTTTTTGGTCCAACTTTTTCATGGACAACACAATGCAACACTCAAAGGACAGGTTAGAAAATGAAAAAAAACTACCCAAAATGAATTGAAAGTTTAGCTTACAGCAGATTGCTGCTATAATCTTTAAGCAGCTACCAATAAAAAGGGGGGATATGAGTGGTAATAGCCATTTTGTTACTGACAGAAAGAAGGAGATATATTGGAATTTCCACAAAGGAACAAAAACCTGTCACTAAATTCATTATGGAGGTTCCACAAAACATTCTCACATAGGGAAAGAAACAAAAACTGCAAAATGAGAATACCACAACAAAGCTTTCAACAGAGCAGGAAAATATACGGACATTCATATGCATAAATATGTAATATAATTACAATAATACAATAATTAAAATATACCATTCGCAATGTACAGGCAATGTTAGAAATTATTACAGTCCAGATATTAATAAACCTTCACATTATTTCATAAATAATGTTCTGATTGAACAGCAGATTTTAGCGATTTAAAAAAAAAAAAAGGTGGTTATTGAGTCACATGGAATGACAAGTTTGTGCGACTCTACAGTACTTTCTTAACTGTCCCAAAACAAGACAATTATTTCAAAATTAAATTCATATATTTATATCAGTTAATTCAAGCAAAATACTGTGGACTAGAATATTGAATTCATCAGAAATTTTAACCTTTTTTTTATTATCTCTGTTTGAATTACATTTTTATCTGAAGTACATATCAGAAAATTATCTTCTCTCTCAAAATATACTTTATGACCCTTAAAATGAACACATCATATCTAGACTGATTAATGAATGCATTTTTATCTATTACAAACCCGTTTCTAATATCCATAACAAACCTAATTTAAAAAAAGGCATACCCTAATATGCAATTTTTAAATTGAAAATTATGCATAAAACAATTGTTAGACAGAATATAAAATTCAGTTCTGTTACGTTCTGTTTATTCAAGTACTTCCTTTCATAACTGTATACACCTCTGAACTTCTTAAGTTATATTATAATGGCAGTGGTGATGATTTTATGCTTCATTGTAAGAAGTGCGTCCTACAGATGCTAGTAAAAATTTAATTTCAGGAAATTGTTTACTAACAATAAGAACAGTTCTGCCAAAATTTTTGGAAACTTTCTATAAGCAATAAATGATATTTACAATAACACCATTTTTTTCAAACTAAAATTACATATTCTTTCTAATTATCCAGACCCTCCCAACAAAAAAGTATGTATGAGGCAATGCTTATGGCACCAAAATAGGTAGGCGGCAATGGAGAGCATCACCAAAATATATTTATGTGACAAACCTAGGTATGTGCATGCACACAGTTCTCCAAATTTGATGATCATTTTTCTGATTAATGTTTGTTTTTGCATTGAGTGCATTTTTTTCCCCTTTAATGAGTCATTTACGGGGCCATGGAGTTTGCCAGCTGATGAAAAAAAAAAAGGGGGGGAATGCATGTCTTCAGAAATCTGGCTTTTTGCCCAAGAATACAGAATGCAAAATTCCACATTCCATGATCTTCTTAAATAGAAGAATTTTATTAAAGTGCAATATGAAAAACTGCAAGCAAAGTTTAGAATTAGCAGTGTCAAATTTGTTCAATTCTCTGAATTTTTTAAACAAATAGAGCTGTGTACAGGGAGAGAACAGAACAAAGAAATTCTTTGTTCCGTTCTCTCCCTGTATATATATACAAGGATTCTTTAAAAGGTACGTGTTTTATTACAGATGTTTTCTGCTTTTCAATTTTAATGACTAATTGCTTTTTTATGGAATTCTTAATGCACTACCATTTTGAAAATGGTTGTTGGTTTTCATGTATTAGCTTGTTTAATTCCTTACCTAATGTATTATTTTATCTTTTTGCATCAGTAACTCTGTGAAATGTTTACTGTCACACTCAATGTATTATACAGCTGATTGCACAAAGTATATCCATGTAACTCAGTCATACCTTTATTTGCATTGTAATTATCTAGAGAACTCATTTATAGTTCATGTTGTGAAAGCCCATTAACAGTTTTTAAATTATATCTATCCTTCTCCAGCACTGTACATATGGAAACTGAAATTATTCTCTTCATCCACATTGCACCTTTTTTCCATCCCTGAGCCACTGACTCGTCCAGCACTCTTCTCTGCACCTCTCAGCATTCATCTTGCACATAACACACCAAAGACTTTGACTTTTGAAAAGGACTGAAACAAAACATTTACTTGCCCCTCTTTCAAACACAGGCCTAAGTATCCTTTCCTCCTTTAACATTTGTAGCTAAGCTAATTCTGTCAGCAGGGCTACAAGGCCAATATGCTAATTGCCCCTCCATCAGTGGAAAGAAAATTTAATGTTAAAAGAAAAGCAAAGAAGAAATTTTAAGAAAAATAAAGAAAGAAAATTTAATAACTTGTTAATTTTTTGCATATTAGCAAAAAATTAGTTGCCAGCTTGGGAGGTGTGTGCTATGTTGGAGCTATCTTGTCACTAATTTGATTAGAACAAGAGAAACTCTAAAGCAATCTAGCCTACTAATTATAAACATAATCTGAAATCAAAACTACTAGTAGGTGGTACATTTGAAAGTTACTTAACAAGTCAATCATAAATAGAAGTTTCTAAATTATTGTATATAGTTCAATCTAATCATGGTCTTAAATTATCAGTCTCCATACGGAAACAGAGAGGGTTTATTGTTATCTTCACATATTCACATAAAATACTGATCTAAATTTTAAGGTAGAAATATGCAACTATTAAAGGCAGTAACTTTCCAAGACACATAGGATTTGGAAAAAATTGAGCTGCATATAATATTCTCAGGCAAATTTTACAAGCTTAAAACAATTTGTTTTAATTAAAAACAAATGTACACTTAATTAAAATAATTCTGTAAATATTATATGCATTTAAAACTTGTACAATATTGCACACATGCTGAAAAAATACAGCAATGAAAAAAATTAACGAATTTTTACACTTACTATTTTATGAAAAAATAATTCAAATCCTAGACTATTTTATTAAAGAAAATCAGCCTTCACACATTTAAAATATAAAAGAAAATATTTTCAGAAATTTACTTCGAAAATTGCTATAAATCCTTTAGGAGCAGTAATATTTAGCAAGTTATTAAAAAAAAGTTATTTTTTCCATAATGCTAATTTTATATTTAGAAATTTTTCGATTTCCTTAAAAACAGAGCTCTTTAAATTTATTAAAAAGATTACCTTTAGCAAATATTCAAAAAATGAGTCTAAACCAGCTCCAACACCACTCATCTGTCCTATCCATTCACCAGATTGAACATCAACCACATTACCTAGTTGAAATAAAAGTTATTTCAATATATTTACTATTTAACACTTTTCTTAAGTGAAATAAATTAGTGCATTAATAAATAATTTCACAATTTATGTAATATTCTGCCCCACAATTACTTCAGCACTTTAGATCAGTGACACTTAAATGTTATTTTAAAAAAGGAATATTACACAAAACAAAATGATAAATAAACAATGCACCTCAAAAACACAGATATTTCAAATATGAGTGCATTGTAACACCCACTATAATGTTAATGTATTTAATATAAAAATTTAATTTACACATTATAAATAACTAGGCTGGTATCTGTTTCTAGGCTGGTAGAATTTACCAATATGATTCCAATTTCAAAAAAATTAATTTTGATTCCAATTTAAAAAAATAATCTGACCCACCAGCGACAGAGTTGTAAAGTCGCTGAACATTGGTGGTTTGGTCCGAGGTTCAAATCCCGTGAACAGGCTGGCTGTATGGGCATTTTTATAGTTTTCCCCATGTGTAAAGTGTATACAAGCCAGTTTCCCATAGAAAGTTCTCCACAAAGGCATCCCTTCCCTTAGGCAGATAGCTCTTGAGACTTTGCCGTAATGAACAAAACAAAAAAATAATCTAGAATCTAAAAAATTGCCTCCCTTCTCAAAAAAAAAAATCAAACATTGAATAGAGTTATATAAGAAAAAATAGTATGAGTAATATTAAAATTAGTGCATATTAGAAAAAAAAATTGAAAGCTTTCAGATTTGATATTTTTTTTATGTTTTGTGTGTTACCTTTATTTATTAAATATCATGTTCTTCACACTTAAACCATAAAATTCCATTCAACAGTAATATCACAAAATAATTTAAAATGAGTACATCTTACGAATTTCTGATACAGAGTTTTGTATGCTGGAGATAAAAATGATTTCTTTTTTCGGTTAGTGTTGTCATTGCTTGTACTGAAATTGTTGAGTTTGTTAATCAAACATTTGTTAAAGATTTACAAACTATGAAATAGGTAATAAAACAATTTGGGCTTCCAGATGCCCATATTCGAGTTGAGAATTACATTATTCAAAATTTGATGGCTCTAGGTATCATTGTTTTATCACAATGCGAGAACCATACATACATTTATACAGATTCTTCATGATTTAATTTCTTTAAATATAACAAGGGCAATAATATCTGGCAGCAACAATTTGAAGAATAATTCAATGCATTTTAAGTTTTTAACGAAAAATGCAAAAACGAAATTAATAGCCCTTCTGGGTAAAATTGCCCCTTATCAATAAAAATATTTACATAATTATCCAGATTTTTACTCCTCAAAATGTAATTTTCTTACTTTTCTCTCTTTTTTAAACAGTATTTTTTTAATTGCAAAGTACTGAAATGTCATGTTTTTTTTAACACATAATGCTAATTGGACTGCTATAAAAAGTTTCTGATATGTTCACAAATGTTTTTAAATTTAGTGAATAAGTTGAATAAAACAAAAATCAATCATTCAGTTCAGTTAAATCATTCTTGGTAAATATTCAGCCTTTAGAAGCATGAAAACACACATAAACAAAAAAAAACATGTTGTCTCCCTCAGATAAATGTATTTTATACCTAACAGTCCAGTAGTTTTAGACCTTAACTTCCAAAGTGCCCTCACAGCTCGCCTAGCAACACCTTCATATACTGGATCTTGAAGAAGTCGGCTGAGCATTCCAAACTCTAAAAGCATAGAACCAGCTCCAGCAGTACAAGTATGCGTTGAAACTCCCTCTGGCACACCATGCCGAAGATTAACCTAAAACAAATATTTAGTTTCATTATGCTAAATTAATAATAATATTAAACTAACATGCCAAACAATGATTAATTTAGATGTCAACCAACAAAAATCAGTGTTATATTCAGCATTCTCGTTCATATTTGCACTTTGGCAGTTGAGGAAGATGGTTCAGTAGTAAAACCATTGAAGCAAGTCCTGGAAAATTTGTAAATATAACGCTGATTTTTGTTGGCTGACTTCTAAATTAATATTAAACACTGTTATATATTTCATATGAAAATTATATTTAATCAAAACTATCATCTGCAGTTAGGTGCATAACACATGGTATTAAGGTGAAAGTAACTACAAAAATCAATTGTTTCATTGTCTACTATACTAATCAGATAATTATTAGAAATTAATCAAAGGTAAAAAATTAAGTATACGCACTGTTTGTTGTTATACACAATTACTGTTGGCTAACTAATTAGTTTTCACACTAAATTCATTCTAATCTTATAATTTGTAAGGTAAATTAAGAATCTTCTACTCCAGCAATAGCATTATAATTAACAGTAACCAAAACACAATTATTAAAAATGCCATACACATCAAATTTATGGTAACAAAATAAAATAATTTTTTGCCAAAAAAGAAAAGTACAGTGATTGAGATATTTTCAGTTAGTGGGATACCAGCTGCAATTTGTATGCCAAAGTGCCAAATGTGGTAACATGCTTATTTCATTAATATCTATGCAATGAACCCAAATCACATAATTTTCCCTTCAAGATCTTCAACTGCTTTTTTGATGAAGTGATGATTTTTTTTAGACAAACAGTCAAAATTCTTTCAAGATAAAATTATCTTCGATTCTGAAAGTTTGTTTGTTTGAAAAGATGCTAAATGAAACTGCATTTTACTTCTGCCAAAGCACTAAAATAGGGCTGAACAAAATGATCATGCCCTGAGACAAAGTTTATATCGGGGATACTGGTTCAAAGATTTGCACATTTCTTTTCGGATAGCTGCAGTTTATTCATTGTGGTGTAAGAGCTCAAATTAGCAAAATTATATCAACTGCAAATAGGACTGGAAAATTTGTATGTATTTATTACAACTGTTGAATGGAATAATTATATGCATTCTTTATTTGTATTTATATTAGATTTTATAAAACTGCCACACTTTTCATGAAGCTATACAGTATATCATTAAGGTAGCCATTCCTATCTCTAGCTAGATTCCACATCAGCATTTACATATGGTGCCATACAGAAAAACTGAAAAGTACTAAGATTGATTATAAGTTTTGCCCTTGCATAACACAGTACAGCAACCTACACATTAACTAATAGCATTATCAAGTTTTGGCAGCATTAACAAGCTTTGAATAAATCATCAGCGGAATAGCTAATTTTTCTCTACAGTAAAGACATTCTTATCAGTTTTAACAATGCACTTGGTCCCATCAATTTTTTTTTTTTTTTTTTTTCTTTTTGTCCCAGACAACTTCCATTCATTATTTGGCAAACCGCCAACAACAATAACTGGGAAACTGAAAGAAAATGTAATAAAAATAAGGAAACTAAAGGTACTTCTTTATTAGAGTGGCCCACAAGATTGAATCTCCAATCAACAAGATATCTCACCAAAATCTGGCTGCATGTTCTTACACCTTACCATGTGATCGTATATTAGCATGGGCTGTGTGTTCTTTTACTTCGCCACATAATCGTATACTAACACTGTGTTGCATTTTTGCTTTCACCATGTGTTCTTATATATTTTCATGAGATTTTCAAATTTGCACTATTTATTTAAAAATATATCAATTGCTTTTTTTGCTAATATGATGTTATCAATCTTTAATATACCAAGTAATGAGGTGGATGCCATATCATTTTTTTAAGAAAGAGGTCTTTTACTTCACAAATGAGTATGCGAAAATGGCTGCAACGTGAAACTTTACGTTAGCGATGAAACCATTTGTTGGTGCTATGTTAAAAATTACAAAAAATAGGGTCTCCATGTTGAAAATTAATTCAGTGGTTGCAGAATATCTTTTGTCACTGTTATTAGATTTACATATTCTCGAGCAGAGGAGTTGACCTCCATGAAATGGTGTGCCAAACTGCTTAATATTTGTGAAATGCTGCAGTTAACTGGAGCAACTGCATGCAATAAAATAATAATAATAAGGATACAGGATAAGGATTTTTAATATTCTTAGGAAATGACATGTGAGTATTATTGTTATTATTACACATTATGTTGTTTATTTTTATATTTGCACTTCACAAGCTTGGCGAGGTAAAAGTATATTTATGGGAAAATTGGCGATTTTTGACAGTACATGGATACCTAGTTTGTGGAATTCTTTGACTTGTTATTTCGGCTTTGTATAGCGGCAATTTTAGCACCAAAAATCGCTGCTACACAAAGACAAGATAAGTCAAACTCGGTATCTATGTACACACTGATCTATTTTCACTTAAAAAAAAAATCACAGAATTGCATAAACTAGACACTGTGCACTCCTTTGACTTTATTCATGTACATGTCGACCTATTTTCACTTAAAAAGTCAAAAGAGCATCCAATTCTAGGTAAAAGTATACTTACAGAACATTCAACTACTCAGATGACCATAAATGAAACAACAACTTCGCAATAAACGAAACAAGTAGGTGATAAATGAAACAACAACTTTGCGATAAAACAAGAGGTTCCCTTCAGTCAACTCTAACCGCTTGGCAAAATTACAGTTGAGATCTCGGCACAAATCTAAAATCATCAAGGTTGAGGCCATTATAACAAAGAAGTACCAAACTAAGAAATACAAAGACTAAAAGTTAGCATGGAGTTACCAGAATGCTACTATGTAATATGTAACTGCAACAGTAAGCATATGTTTTTTAGAAAGTTTAGAAAGTTTGAATAATCAGTATCACTTACTACAAGTATTCATTCAACACTAAAATGAAGTCTGAATATTCTCTGAAGGTCACATACCACTAAAAAATTACACTGCCAATAGTGTTGAACATCTTTCACTTACAGCACTGCAGTACATCAAAGTTTACTTTATAAATAAAAGTGTTATTTTTTCAAACAAAAACTTTAAAAAGATTTAAACAAAATATATATACACAACTTCAAAGATGAGGTAAGATTTATAAAAAATAAAGATGGAAAACACTTATGAACAACATATTAGTTATTCAGGATACTAGATGTAAATTGATAACTTCAGTGTAAAAGAAATGGTTAATAAATAAGTACCCTGGGATATGGAAGTCCAGTTTTAGTATTTTCAAACGCTGGTAACAAACGGCTTGCCAGTTCATGAGCCAAGTGAAGTAGTTCGTTATTATAATCCTCAGGCACCAAATTTCCAAAAGGCTGTTTGGCATCATTAATTAGAAGATGAGCTGATAATAGGGAGCCCAAAATTCTTTTAAAAAAATTTAATGCATTACAATTTTAAAATCATTACTATAAACATAAGGAAAAATTAGATAATAAGAAAGAGAACACCTATAATGAAATATATGGCACAATAAATTACAAACTAATTTCGCATTAAGGTACCCATATTTTAATATCATGCCTATACTATAGCATAAATATGATTTGAAATTGATAATGTAATGCCATCTCTTCTTGTATTATCTGTAATTTTTCTTTTGAAACTATTACATAGGCTGATGTTATTCAGTTACTTTCAGGCAAACTGGTAGATATCTTAAATTAGTCTAACTAATGCAAATGTAACTCTAAAAAATGTTACATTTATTATTATTGGTGCCAATGTAGGGACAATTACATAGCATGGTCCTTTGTGATTATAGGTGACCCTATCGGGAAATCACAAACTGCTTGCCGACTTTGTAACTCAGTGGATTTTTTCACTGGGGCATCTGCGAATTCACTGGAAACTAATTTCTCACCAAACTAATGTGGTGAAGGCAAGAGCTATTTTCAAAATGGTGTTGCACTAAAAATTCCATAAAAGATCAATCAGCAAAAGGTACTTGCCTATTATCGCAACCACCTTAGTAGAAGTCACAAAATTTTCAGAAGTCGCCAAACTCTGGCAACCATGCACATAACAGTTCTTTAGGTAACAATAGCCATTATAAGCTGCAATTCTAAAGCTCACCGAATCACCCTTTTTCTTCTGTAAAAAATCGCCAAACTGCACCAAGGTGGTTGTGTTAATATGTAAGTACCCAATCAATAATATTTAAAAAGCAAGAAGCATCACTAATAAATGAAATTGATTACTTTTTTTTAAAAATATTTCAGTAATTTTTTGCACTGCTGAAATCATAGAAAATCTCTATGAGTATAATGATTTGTTTTTGTTGTTTAAAAAAAGAATCAGAATAACACGAATTCAGCATCATACAAAATTTCAGCACTGGATGCCAGCTAACAATAAATAAAACAAACTGCTGTTATAAACAAAATACAACTATCTTCAAAAAAATTTCTGACCTGCATTTAATTTTTTTTTTTTTTTTTTTTTTTTTTAAAGTTTTTTGCATTCCATTACCAAAAAATTTGATCATTTAAGAAATATAACTTCATACACTGAATTTTTACATTCTGTTGGACAAAATGCCATGCTTCCATCAGCCAGCAAACTCCAAAGTCCCACTGTGATTCATTACAAGGAAAACAAATATACTCAATGCAAAAAGGAACAATCAGAGAAATGATAACTGAATTTTGAAAATACACATTCACATACACTTAAACAGGCATATGCTACACACATATCTGGATTGTCATATAAATACCTTCTAGCAACGTGATGGTTTGATACAGAACTGTTTTCGTGATGTATTGCATTATCTCAGAATACTCTTTTGTAACTTTTCAATAGGGGTGCAGATAATCAGAAAGTACCGATAGTATATACTAGGCAATAAATTTAATTTCAATGGAGTGGATTAATAACTCAATGTACAATGGAAGTAGAGAGATAGTTTGATGAACTGCTTTCAATTTCAGTGACTTCTAATATGTTAAAGCAAAAAATTATTCTTATTTTCAAACCTGACATAAAAAAAGTATTCCCTTTTTTGAATTAACTCCCCTCTTCACATTTACAAAATTAATCTCCTGCTAGATACTATGACTAGTAATTTTTTTGCAGAGTAACTGAGAATCTAATGAAACTCTTGTTACATATCAAATTTTCCTCTCAAGGGGGGGAAAAAACGAAATAGATAAAATGTTTTAATTACATATAATTTAATCCTGCAAAACCCAATTGCAGATTTTAAACAGTTATAAAGTGCTATTAAAAATTATCCATCCAATTTTTTTTATTCCATTTTAGAATGTAAAACTAATAAAAACCACATTTATTTGAATTGCAAAACATGACAACAGTAAGCAGAAATATTTGGCGCATGATACATTCATCTACTCTACATTAATCATCATACACATTCATATATACGTATATATAATAAAACTTGGCAATGTTTAGCATCAATATGTAATTATGTTCTCAGAAATACTGTCAGCTGCAGTGGTGATATACTTAAAAAAAAATGAACATTTTACAGATATTTGTTTAAATTCTAAAAAATAATTATCACTTTATGAGGTGGTCATCTTCCGAACGCAGCCATTACAAGAGATTTCAGTGTGTATGTGTGTGTTTATATATATGTATGTATGTTTGATATTTTAGACTTTCACAGTCGTAATATGTTGATAAAATTTGACAGAGGTCTGAATATAAAGGATCAAACCAATCACTTTTTAGACATGCATGAAAAAACTGTTGCATATATCCGACTGGAGTGAAAATCAGAACTGGCTTGCTGGTTAAAATATTTTTATTCTAAACAGAAAAATTCTTCAGATTTTTTTAATTCGTTTTTGCTTAATTTAGTACAACAGTTGGGATACTAAATGCACCCCATACTTTCTATAGACACAGCATACATTTTAGGTAATAAAGAAGCTTTACGAAGGGCCATGATTTTCCTTTGCAAAGCAAGCAGGCAAATTGTAGTCGTATTTATAAACTTGAAAAGAATTTGCTTTAATCCTCAGCATTTGCCCAGGATGAAAAATGGTGCAAAGTGTATCCTAAATTCTATTCAAAATTCTTCAGAGATACATTTTAATTTGGTACAACACCAGAGATGCTAAACATGCCCTGCACTTTCTATATACATTGCTTACATTTTAGATAATACAGAAAGAAGCTTAGCAAACAGCTATGACACTCCTTGGCAGAGCAAAGTGATGCAAAATGGTACAAAGCATATCCTCGAAGAAGGAGATGTGTTTAATTAGAAATTATGAATTTAATGATCAATTGACAATTGGTTCCAATTAAGTTTAATAATTTTGTTTTATATTTTATATTTTACACACACACACACACATATATATATAAAGATTTTTATAAATAAACAGCTCAGTTCCTGCCAGAATACTTTAACTGGCTTTATTAATAATGAGAAAGATGTTTTTACAGATCTATACATACCTAATGTTTGCTTCAAATACTTGAACTATATTATCTGTATCGAAAGACACATGCTCAATTATGAGTTTAACTGCCTTTTTGAATTCAGTTGTATTTCCATTACCTTAAAATAATAATAATAATAATATATTAAGAGAAAAAGTAAATAAAAAACACAAATTCAAATTTATTATTAAAAAATAAGCAAATAAAATTAAAAAGAGGAATAGTGTTAAGATTATAAATTAATTAATAAATCACAGTTACTATTATCATTATTAAAACTTAAACTGCTTAAGGTCTATGAAGTGCAAATAAAAGTACTCACAGCAAGAGTATCTAAGGCATCAATAAGTGTCAAGGAATAATCGCCCAGAACATCATTAATATTTATATTGGACCTAAAAATACATTATTATTATTAAATACAATTATTATCAAAATATTTCCTTTTCAAAAGAGAGTTCAAAAGAGAATTTTCATTTTTTTCCCAATACACTTAAATTACGGAACTAAAATTCCCAAAATAAATAATTATATAAGTACTATGCCCATAGAAGTGCTTTTACTGTTTTCATTTTTTGCAACTACTAATCTTAGACATAGTTAGAATTTATACTCATTCCAAAACAAAAATAAAATAAAAAAGACATAAAACATTTGATCCCGGTATAAGAAAAACTGACTGAGATATTTAATTTTGACATTCGAAACCATGTTCAGAGATTGTACACAAACTGAGAAGTAACTTTGTATTTGCACATAACTAAAAATGACAAGCAAATTTAGACAATAATTTCTGTTACTAACAGATTAAGTTACAAGTATTGCTATGGAAACTGTAGTAAGAAATATGGATCAATCTATTTCTTTTGGGGGGAGGGGGGAGATTTTATTCACAGAAATTCATAGCATTCAGTCGAGAAAACAGCATCAGTTTTCTGCATTCAGTACCGGCAAAGAGCCAACTTATAATATTTCTATAAATTAAAAATGAAAAATATTCCCAGTTTAATTAATTTTTTGTACAATTACACTTCTCGACATTGAAAATGCAACACCAAGGAGTGGTCAGAAATTTATGCAAATTTTAGAGTAGACGCATGTCACTGAGTTATGCGAATGGCATGAAATGCACAATTCTCTGATGCACGTGAAGTAAGATATAAGGGAAGGAACATGCAGAATGGGCAATATTCGTGTCGTTATTTCTACCAGATGAATTATCGAAGAAAGTTGGTTTTTGTCCCGGAGGATTCGTGTAATAGGAAAGAATGCCAGGCAGCCGTCAACGAAGACAATTCCAGCAGATAGACGATTTTACGAAGGGTATGGTTGTGGTGATGGCGATAAGGAGTGCGCCTTGCGCCCTCCGATAAGTGTGGCAACCCTAGAGGAGAAATTTCTTACGAGTAGCGAGCAGAGCGAAACAGGCAGGCTGTCGGGGAGTATGCGCGATGTTCCTAATAAAGCTTAATTTTTATTGTGCACTATGTCTGTTAATATTATATTAATGCAGTAAGACATAATCTGTGATATGGAATTCGAGGATTGCCGGTAAAAACATAACCGGAAATCTCCATAATGGTAACCCGGACTGTGTTAAAATCGTATGAACATTTCTCAAGCACTTTCGGTTTTGACTACAAGCCATCACTCAAGATCTCCAAACCAGAAGTAATGGATTACATCGGTTTTTCATCCTCCGAATCACAGATGAGTAGTAATTATAGATCATTTTATAATTACGTTTTCTACTTATCATTTAATTTATTTTCTTTAGTTAAATTTTTTGCTTTTATTTTGGCTTAAAAACCTTGCACATGTCTTATGATTATGCCGTCCAATTCCGGTTTATAACCGATCAGACCCATCTTTATGGTTATTATGTGTGAAAATACCTTTGCTCTTGCCACCCCCAAACCTAGCACACAATCCATTACTAAATATAATTATGTAGTTGCTCATCTTCCTCCAGATATAGCATCTCTAGTGTGGGATTTACTTATGAAACCAGACCCTATTGATCCATATACAAAGCTCAAAACTGAGTTAATAAATCGATCAGGAGAATCTTCTCAGCAAGAAATTTGCCAATTATTACCCTGGAGAGGAATTAAGGTTCTCGAAAACCTTCCGATTTGCTTAGAAATATGAAACATCTAGCAGAATCCATAAATGTTCCTGAATACCTAATGTTAGTCTTATTTCTTTAGCGTTTGCCTTCGATCATTCAGCGTTTGCCTTCAGTCTATTTTTGGCCAGCGGTTTCCAATTTAACTTGTAGATAAAGCTGCGGAAATAGCTTACAGAATCTTTTAGAAGTAAATACAACCCCAGGGACTTGACACGGTTCTGGCACAGTCAATCGATCTATTGAGGATTAATTACTTAAAGAAACAGAAAAATTAAAGAAGCGTATTGATCGTATTTCCCTTTCTCGTGGTCGCTCGCCAAATCGCGGAGATCACAGTAAAGAAAGGACCAGTTCCCAAAAGAGAGATTTTTCCATTTGCTGATATTTCCATTTGCCAATAGGCGTTTTGAAAAAAATTGCAGAGACGACAAGTGTACCAAACCTTTTTCATGGCAGAGATACGAAACCAGAAAAGAATAGAGGCGACTTATTCTTTGCCTCAAAACCACCTGTTTATTCGTAACTGGAAAACAAACGTTTCATTCTTGGTCGCTACTGTCTGTGACGTGTCCTTACTTCCGGTAAATAGTTCTCGAAAACGAATTTCTTCCAAACAAACACTTTTCGCTGCTAAATTCTTCTATTACTGTTCATGTTTATTATATGTGTCAATACCTTGTTTATATATGAATTGCATTTTGATCTTTTCTAATTTTATATTCTAATTTTGTAATCATAAAAAAAATACCCGACAGCACGGATACTCTGAGATAATTTCATAACCTATGTCGTTCCTTTGAATAGCCATTAAAGGAACTGGGGGGAAACTCTGTGGTGATGGCGATAAGGAGCGCGCCTTGCGCCCTCCGATAAGTGTGGCAACCCTAGAGGAGAAATTTCTTACGAGTAGCGAGCAGAGCGAAACAGGCAGGCTGTCGGGGAGTATGCGCGATGTTCCTAAATAAAGCTTAATTTTTATTGTGCACTATGTCTTGTTAATATTTATATTAATGCAGTAAGAACATAATCTGTGATATGGAATTCGAGGATTGCCGGTAAAAACATAACCGGAAATCTCCATATGGTAATCGGACTGGGAAGGGCGGGTTGGTCCTTACGTCAAATCGCAGCTGATACCCACACAGATGAGAGCATGGTGCATCGGCTATGGCTAACATGGTTGGAACAAGGAAATGCGGCAAGAAGGAGGGGTGCAGGCGCAGCCCAGACTGACGTCAGCATGCGTGGGATCGGACGCATCCGCCGACAGCAGCTGTGGCAATCCTGCAAGTAACTTGTACCATGATTCTGCAAGCATGTGCAAGATACCCTGGATATTCTCGTGTCGACCAGAACCATTTCCCGTCGATTGGTTGAACATGGCCTGCACTCACGGCATCCGTTAAGAAGACTGCCATTGACCCCACAGCATAGATGCAATGTTTAGAATGGTGCCGGACTGGAGCTATATGGATGATAGAATGGCGAAACGTCCTGTTCTCAGATGAGTCACGCTTCTGTTTATTCAGTGACAGTCGCCGCATACGTGTGTGGCGTCGACATGGAGACAGATCTAATCCGGCAGTAACTGCGGAACGCCCACCACGCGACAACGTGGCATAATGGTTTGAGGCGCTATTGCCTACGATTCCAGGTCACCTTTTGTTCGAATTCAGGGCACTATGACGGCCCAACGATACTTGGATAATGTACCTGCGGCCGGTGGCTACCTTCAGGGACTGTCTAATGCAATTTTTCAGCAGGATAACGCCTGACAACACAGTACTCGCATCTGCCAACATGCTCTGCAAGGTATACAGATGCTTCCCTGGCCGCCGTACTCTCCTGACCTGTCACCAATCGAAGATGTGTGGGATGCGATTGGACACCGTTTGGGGACTCTGCCCCTGCCTAGTTCAGAAGACGAAATGTGGCAAATGGTTGAAAGGGAATGGAGAGCCATCCTTCAGGGCACCATCCGCACTTTTATTGACTCTAAGCCTAGATGTGTTTCTTCGAACATCGCTGTCCGCGGTGGTCCTACATCCTACTGAGCCGACACCGTTCTCACTCTGTATTCTGACTATCATTTTGAAATAAAGATCACTTATTGCTACTTGCTGTCTCTGTCTTTTTTCCAAATTTCATCACTTTCTGACTACTCCTTCTTGGTGTTGCATTTTCAATGTTGAGTAGTGTATTAGATTATGATTCTAAAACAATAAAACCTGATGAGAATATTATTGACATATTCTTAACATTTGATTATAAATTAGCATTTATTACTTGTATAAAAATTGTTTTGATATATCAAATGCGTGAAAAAATTACAAGCTAAAGGCACAAGAAAATTATAAAAGAATATTACTGAATAATACTTAAAACAAGGGGGAAAATCAACCTCAAATTATTCTGACTCATTTTTTAACTGACCCCTCACAATCATAAAGAAGTCAATTTTTAGCAATTTTTGTCATACAGCTGTCAAATATTTTTCATTTTAAGTCTGTGAAAATAAAGTTTGCATAAGAACTTTTGAAAACATGGTGTATATATTATACAGTCAAACGCAATGTGAAACTAACTTTTGGTCACATCCAACTTTCTGTACACTTAATGTTATCTTACACAACTATAGTAAACTCCCAAAAGTACACAATTCAGATATAATAAATTCTGTGAATATGTTTGACTTTTTTTTTAACCCAAAAGGATCCTAGCCCAGAAGGGCTATTAAGTTTCAAAATGGCATTTTGTGTCAAATCACTAAAAACACTGACTCACTTTCAAATTGTTCCCACCAAATATTATTGCCCTGTACTATATTTAAAGATATTACATAATGAAGAATCTGCAATGAATGTATGTATGTTTCTTGCACTGTGAGAAAAAAAAAACAGTACCTAGAGCCATCAAATTTTGAATAATGTAATCCTTCATCTGAAAGCCCAAATTTTGAATTGTTTTGTTATCTATTTTGTATTTCATAAAACTTTAACAAATTTCTGATTAACAAACTCAATGATTTCAAAGCCAGTAGTGGCAACATTGTACAGGATAAAACACCTTTACCTCCAACACACGAGAACTGTCTATTGGATGCTATTTTTAAATATTTGTAACACAAAAGGGCATTATACCAAATGCTCTTTGGCTCTTGAATCATGTATGTGTATGTAAATGAAAAAAATGCCTCTTTGGGCATAATATAAAATTTGAAAGCCTTCAGATTTTTTTCCGAACATTCTATAATTTTGAACTAAAAAATTACTAATCTTTAAATTCTTCATATTTAGGTTATTAGGATAATGAAAAACACTGGGGATAGTGGATGATGAATGTAGCAAAAATTGACCAAAAACCTAAAGGAAATTTTTTGATATAAAACCATTTTAATGGTTTTAACTGTATTATTTGTATAAAACAGCTTGTGTGTAATTTTTTTTTAAAAGAAGTTATGAGCATTTGAATACTTTTGTTTAAATTTTTGGTGACATTCAACCCTTTGTCATACAGGTGAGGATATGTAGTTACCCAGTTGGTGCACATGATGTGAAGGTTAATTTTTCAGTTATCTTTGCTTAATATGGTGTAGGAAACCCGTTGGCATCCAAAACAGCTTGCAGTCTACTTGGAATGGATAAATACAGTTCCTGTATGTTGTTTGCCAAGGGAATATTATACCATTCTTATTGCAAAACGGTGGCAAGTTCAGATAACGATGTTGGCGGTGGATAACGAGAACGTACTTTCCGTTCCAATGTAGACCACAAAGGTTCGATAATATTCAGGTCTGGTGACTGTGGTGGCCAGGGAGATGGGACAACTCATCCTCGTGCTCAGAAAACCAGTCCTGGACAATGTGAGCTGTGTGAACAGGGGCTTTGTCGTCTTGGAAGACACCATCACCATCGGGGAACAAAGTTTGTACCATGGGATGAACTTGATCGGCCAAAATGTTCACATAAGTCTTGGCAGTCATGTGCCCTGACACAGTTATCATGGGGCTAGCAGAGAACCACGATATGGCTGCCCAAACCATAACAGAACCCCCGCCATGTTTCACTCTTGGCAACAAGCAGTCTGTATTATAGGCTTGAGATGGCGTTCTTCCAGACGTAAACTCGGCCAGAAGTGGGAAACAATGTGAAAGAAGACTCGTCAGAGACCATATTACTTACTCGCTTCCACTGCTCTATAGTCCAGGCTTTATGACTTAAACACCACCTTTTCCTGTTACGGGCATTAGCATCACTGATGAGTGGCTTCTCAATTGCAGCACGGCCAGCAATTCCCTGTTTATGAAGCTCCCTTCTAATTGTTTTGGTACTCACAGGGTTCGGTAACACAACATTCATTTCAGCAGTAACTTTTGCAGCTGTGGTCTTCTTATTTTTCGTCACAATTGCCCTTAATGATCGTCTGTCACGATCACTCAGGACACACTTTCGTCCGCGCTGTGATTTAGCAGATGATGTTTTTCCACTTTTCAAATATGCGGAATAAATCTTCGATACAGTACCTCTTGAAACACTAAACACTAAACACCTCGCTAAACACTAAACACCTCGGCTACCTTGCTTACGGAAGCACCTACCATACGTGCTCCAACAATTTGCCCACGTTCGAAGTCTGTTAACTCTGACATAATGCAATGACAACCTCACATAACAGTACTCCGACAACAACTGAACTGTTTAGCACATTTACGAAGTTGTATAGGTGGCGTCAGTAGTCAAAAATGCCAGCGCCACCTACATATTTCATTAAAATCAATCTTTCTTTTCAAACATGCATTTCACAAGGTGTTTCCATATTTTTGTCCATCCACTGTAAATAACATGTATGCTGAGCAATGAAATAAAAAATATATCAATTTAATCATCATAATGTACAAAATAATACCTTACATGCAGTTTGATAAAACTCTAAAACAAAAAAAAGACCTAAAATCATTTTTTTTTATTATTATTATTTGGCCATATAATATTTTTCATTATTTTTCTGGTTATAAAAATTTATATACATATAATCAATTCATTTCATGTGATTTTTACAATTTAAAGTTTTACAGTGTGAAAAAAAATTAAAAAAAAAAAAAAAAGAGAGAGAGAGAGAGAGAAAATAAAGAAAAGAAAAAAGGGGAGAAGAAAAGAAAGGAAAAAAAAAGAAAAAGAGATCACAACTGCACAACTGCACTTTTGAATTTGATATGGCCACTGTGGTGGATTTGCAGATTACAAAATAATAATAATAACAATAATTATAAGAAAGTAAGGTACTATTCAGTTTTGAGGGCCGTAAAAAAATTGCAGTGAAAATGTATGCGCAAAAGCGCCAAATCTAGCAAATGCACCCATTTAACAGCGTGCCACATCTAGTGTATGCATTGATTTCAGATTGCGTAAATTTGATAGTTCTATATTTCTTAACGCCATTACATACTAGTTTTAATTTTAAATCCTTTTGATATCCTTTGGATTTACAATTGGGAATTGCCCATGACAAAAGTCGGCAATAGATTTTGGGTAATGCAGTATCCCCCACTGCTTGACGCATTTTTAAGAATTGCACATACTCGGTATCCATGTGCCCATCAACCTATTTTCACTTAAATCTTATAGAATTGTACAAAAATGGCACTGCGCACACCCTTAACCTTATCTATGTATACGTTGACCTATTTTCGCTTAAAAAGTAAAAGAAAATTAACAAAAATTCAATTTTTTTACCCTTGTAAAAAGCGGCAAACAAATAAGTGAGCGATTCTGCACTACTGAATTCCGATTCTGAATATTTTAAAAGAAAAGGATCATTCATTAGAAATTATGTTTGACAACCACGAAATGAAATATCTTTAGCGATAAGTCGGTAGCGATAGCAATGCAGCATCCATTCTTATGTTTAGCATTTATATAAAGTATAATATGATCTGAAATAGTTATTTACTCTTATGCTCCATTCAGTCTGTTTAGCCTTTTTCATATAAATTATAATAAAAAAAAGATAATGAATAAAACTTTTCATCTAAATTAAAAATCAATTTAGTTATTTTATTATACTTCCTTTCTTACATTAGAGTTGCCGCAATTATTTTTGGCAGCGCTGGCACCAACAATAGTTTGGCGATTTTTTATGGCCCTCGAAACCGAATAGTACCGAAAGTAATAATAATATAAATGCACATTTTTAACAATGGACTCTCCATGTTTATTTATACTTTAAAAGTACAGATCAATATTGCATACTCAGAAATCAGTATAAACTTACGGGTTTTCATAATCTGGTCCTCTTCCAGTGCAAAATATAGGATTTAACTCATCTTTTGGGAATGCATATTTTAAGTAGTTATCATACCCAAACTGGAACATCTTACGAGCTTCTTCTTTCATTTGTAAACGCAAGCTCTCATTAAAACTTCCATACTTTTTTGTATATCTTTCAGGTGTTTGAAGGAAAATACTGTAATTTTCTACAGTTTTCTTAATTAGTGATCTTGATTTGTAGTTAACATTTGTATCATGATTGCATGAATAAGGAGATGTAAGAACACAAAGTTGAAACAAAGAGAAGAAAAGAATTATCCAAAATGAAATATGCATATCCATTATCAACCATCATTCCGCTTATAAAGTAAAATCTGAAATTTAAAAAAAAAAAAAAAATTAATGCACATTTTTTAAATGACTTAACAAAAAATTCTTAATTCAACAATATTTAAATATTAATAGTATAGGTGATATATCACAATACATTACTTTTTTTCTTCTTCTCTTTTTAGATATCAAGTTAAATATTCAGAACGTTATATGGAAAAAATAAAACAAAATATACCTCTGCATCTATAATGGAAAAAAGGGATATACAGTCAAAAGTCGTTAATTCGGACACCCATAATCCGGACCTCAAAGCTAAAAACTTTCTGCGCATGCGCCGTTTTGACGCATGCGCATAGGCGTTTAAGCGTGTGCGTAAGACCTTTACGACTGCGCATTTGCATGTGCACAAGCGCAGAATACGTTTTCGCTGCGCGTTTAATGTATAATGTACAGTATAAGCTAAAATTATCTAATTGTCTATTTCAGTTAATGTTGATGATTGCGTTGTCCCTTAATCTTCGAATTGGATCCAGCTTATTATTTTTTGCAGACTGTTAATTATTACGGCAATTTTTTAAAAAGTAAGCTTGAACTTTTCGATTATGTCGAAAAGAATTTCCCAATTCCTGGAGCTCCCAAGGATCTACAAAAACGAAACCATGTTTCGATGTCCATTCAAACAAAAAGTGGAATTGCTCCAAAAAATGGATAAAGACATATCCTTTGTTTATCTAACCGTTCCGAAATCTGTTTATCAATTTCACGCTGCTCTGCGTGGGGGGAGGGGGAACGTGGCAGCGCGTAATGAACTGGAAGTTGATCCGTCAACACTATCGTTATCTTCAGGGCAGATGTTTTTATTTTATTCGGCTTATAATTCCTTATTAAATGTAGTATTTCATTTCGATGTACTTCGTTTTTGATATGATTTAAATCTTTGTCTTTGATATGATTAAATCCTCGTCATTATAAATATCACGAATACAAATCAAATAGTTTTCTGGTTGCAATTTTCTAATTTCGGCTATGCATAATGTATGCTTTACGCATGTGCGCGTTGAAAGAAATGTTTAATAAAGTAAACAAATAAATATTAAGCTTTTTTTTTGTAAATTTTGATACCCTTTAGATCATAATTGTTCATTATTTTATAAATTACGGTTTCATATTTTTAATTTTATAATTTCTGCATGCCATCTTACCAGATTTAAACTGATGATCTATAATCCGGAATCACCGAAGTCCCGACGAGTCTGGATTAAAGACTTTTGACTGTAAAATGTATATATAAGATGTAAAATAAGAATATAAGGAAACTGAAAATAACAGAAGTGATAAATAAATATACATGAAATTTAAATCTACTATCGCAAACATAAAAATTAGAGCAGTGTAATAATGATTGCACCACCATTCGATAAACAGCATGACAATAGCACAGTAGATGTTCAGTAATAAAAACAATGCAAAAAATCTTTTATAACAGGGTGATAGTATCTCTACATATAATAAAAGAAATAGTCTGTCTGTGTGTGTCTTTCGTTCATGCTGCGCATATAATAGACCCAGGGCTCCAAAATTTGGTACAAGGTGCATCTAGACAAGAGCCAGTGCACCTCGAAGCGATTTTTTTCAAAATTCGAATAAGATTTTCTTTATCTTTTTTGATGAAATTGTATCATTTTGAATAGTCTCATTCTTTTAGAAATGTGGTTTTGGCAACAGTTTTTCATTTAATGCTTTATATACTGGACTCCTGACTGTTGAAAATATGAGATAAAATATTATTAATTATATTTTCCTTTGTAGATTTTTTTTAATAAATATTATTAATTATATTTTCCTTTGCAGATTTTTTTGTTTGCTTGTTTGTTTTTTTTCTTCCCCCATGTTATTTATTGCTTATTTCACTGTTTTTAAGATATTGAAAAGTTTTCCATATTTTTTTTAAGGAAACAAAGTTTTTAACTTCCTTTTATACCATTTGAATTCTTAAGATTTTGCAACAGGAAGTTGGTTAATTTATTTATTAGGATAATTAATATTTGTATTAAGGGATATTGCTTATTTCATTGTAATTTTGTTTTTCTTTTAATTATATAAAAAGTTTTGTATGATTTTTTTTAGGAAACAAATTTCTTAATTTCTTTTATACCATTTGAATTAAAAATTTTGCAATGGGAAGTTGGTTAATTTATTTATTAGGATAATTAATATTTGTATTAAGGGATATTACTTATTTCATTGTAATTTTTTATTTATTTATTTTTTTGATAAAGTTGTTCTGCAGAGTAAAAATGTGTGGTTTTTAAATTTAATGTCTGGTGTTCCCTTTAGGCATTTTCCCGGTACATTTAAAAGCCAGATGAAGGCTGGCTGCGTAGTGGTTAGTAAAAGATAAATGAAATGGCCAAACCACATAATACACATTTAAAAAAATGAATATTCATTTATAAATTAAAGCTATAAATTAATAGCCAGTTGCTCAAACTATACCATAATACAGTAGAACCTTGAGATACAAGTTTAATTTGTTCCAGCATTGAGCTCATATAGCAAATTTCTTGTAACTAGAAACAAACTTTCCCTCTGAAAATAATGGAAATCCAGTTAATCCATTCCAAACCCCCAAAAATCTCACTGCCGTCTCATCTTCAGTCGATGTACCTGGTGTTTTTCAGAGAAGATCGAAGTACAGATTCTTAGCATTATCGTAAATGACAGCTTCCGACACCGAATTGCCTTTTAACTGCTTTTCGTTAATCCATACCAACAACGGCTTCTCAACATCTTCTAGGAGTTTTGGATGGTGCTTGGATCTTCTAGGAGTTTTGGACGGTAACTCCTTTAATTAAGTTTCTTAATTTTTTCTTTCTTCTTCAGAATAGTGTAGATCATTTATGTCGAACAGCCTTAAGTCTTCGCCAATTCCATCACTCTTACACCACACTTATGTTTATCTATGATTTCTTTTTAATGTCAATGGCCATGGCTTTCTTTTTCTTCTTTGCAGCACTATCTAAGGTAACAATTTTCTTGGAAGGCATCATAAAATAATTATTTTCACATTAAAAGTAAAAAAACAATTAACTCACAGTGCACAAACACATAGATCAAAGTACACTGAATGATCTGACAAGGTGATCGCCGAGTCGAGCCGGATCGAGAAACGCGCCAAGCGCATCAACAGCTTGGCTCGTAGCTCGTTACTCTAGTCAATGCTCATATTCAAAGACGAATTTTTCACTTGTGCTTTTATTTTTCGTATCTCGAATTTCTCATGTATAGAGGGGCTCGTATCACGAGGTTCTACTGTGTAGTAAAACCTCTTGTGGCTGCACTTCTGAAAATTGGCCAGTATTTTTGAAAACAGATTCAAGTAATGGAATTCACTATCAAAAATCCTGGTTTTGAAGATAACGCCATCCTTACAAAATTAAAATCATCTGCAACTGTGGGTCTAGTCAAAGTGATTATAACTTTAGTACGAGTGCAAAATTATTATAATGCTAAAGTTATAATCACTGTCACTAAGTGGCAATACCTTCTAAGCCCCAAATTTTTTAATAAAGATTATCATTTTCGGTTAATCTTCGAATTATGGTAACTTGGCAATTTTTTGGCAACCAAACCTGCTTTTTTTTTTTTTTTGACGCCATTTTGTTTTCATAAAGTAAAGGCATTTTTTGGTTGATTTTTACAATATGGTAACTGGTAGTTTGGCAACATTTTGGAGGCGATAAAGGTTACTACCTGGGACTTTGGTAATAATGTGAGCAGTACTCAGTTCCGATTACGCATTATTTTGTGTGAGGGAAATGAGAGATCATGGGATATGTCATGTGATATTAATGGATGAATTACGGTTCTTTAATCGGAAAAGGGGGGAAATCGGGAAAAAATCTGGAAATTTTGTATTTGGCTTTATTCTGTGTTGTGTGAAACAGTGTTCGTGAATTTTTGGATCCCATGGCCGTACTAAAAGTGAATTCGAAATGGGTATTTATGTATGTATTAATTTAAATGTATGTGCTCATTATATTTTAAGTAGTGTTTTTGATTTAATTATATTTTAATTAATGATGTTAGTTATTTTGTGATTTTACGTTTGTAGGAGTTTGGTATACGTTTCAGTTGAAGTAAACGTGCATGGAAATAATTTAAATATCTGACACTAAGTATTTGTAATGCTTGCGGTATGAATTCGTTGGTGACGTGTATAATGTAATAGATGATTTAGAGGTAAAAGTTTTTGGATATTTTATTTATTTTATGTGTGGAAATGTTCCATTACTTTTTCGCGATCAGGTATTTCATATATGTTCTTTTTACCGGGTTTAAAGATTGAGAAAATTGTCACGTATTTTCGTGAAATTTTTCTAATTTATGAGAAAAAAGCAGTGTACATGGATATAGTGAAGAGTGTGCGCAATGCCATTTTTGTGCAATTCTGGGATGTTTTTTTAAGTAAAATAAGTCGCGTGTACATGGTTTAGGATATTTTAATTAATGATAGTTATTTGTGACTTTTATGTTGTAGAATTGGTATACGTTTAAGTTGAAGTAAACGTGCATGGAAATAATTTAAATATTGATACTAGTATTTGTAATGCTTGCGGTATGAATTTCGTTGGTGACGTGTATAATGTAATAGATGATTTAGAGGTAAAATTTTTGGATATTTTATTATTTTATAGGTGGAAATGTTTCATATTTGGAAAGGGTAAATACTTTTTTCGCGATCAGGTAATTTCATATATGTTCTTTTTACGGGTTTAAGATTGAGAAAATGTCACGTATTTCGTGAATTTTTCTAATTTATGAGAAAAAAGCAGTGTACATGGATATAGTGAGAGTGTCGCAATGCCATTTTTGTGCAATTCTGGGATGTTTTTTAAGTAAAAATAAGTCGGCGTGTACAGGTTTAGTGATATTTTAAATTAAATGATAGTTATTTTGTGATTTTATGTTTGTAGGAATTTGGTATACGTTTAAGTTGAAGTAAACGTGCATGGAAATAATTTAAATATTTGATACTAAGTATTTGTAATGCTTGCGGTATGAATTCGTTGGTGACATGTATATGTAATAGATGATTTAGAGGTAAAAATTTTTGGATATTTATTTATTTTATATGTGGAAATGTTCTATTTGGAAAGGGGTAAATACTTTTTCGCGGTCAGGTAATTTCATATAGTTCTTTTTACCGGGTTTTAAGATTGAGAAAATTGTCATGTATTTTCGTGAAATTTTTCTAATTTATGAGAAAAAAGCAGTGTACATGGATATAGTGAAGAGTGTGCGCAATGCCATTTTTGTGCAATTCTGGGATGTTTTTTTAAGTAAAAATAAGTCGGCGTGTACATGGTTTATGTGTATGTGTTATTTTGAAAAACGGTAAGGAGTATGGTATTGTGCACTTTTTCCCAATTTTGCAGTGAATATTTGTCATGATTAAGCAGTTTTGTTAGATAAAATTTCTAGCGGAAATGTAATTCGGCTAGTAGATTGTTGGAAGAAGTGTTCAGTAGATAAAAAGAAAAGAAACATGTCTTTACTTCGTGAAGACAAAATGGCGGCGGGAAAAAAAAAATAGAGGGTTGCTGTAGGAGAGTTGGTCGCCAAAAAAAACGCCAAGTTACCATAATGTAAAGATCAACCCATTTTTTTTTTTTTTTTTTTTTTTAACTCAACATTTTTTTCCAACAATCTGCTAGCCGAATTATGCTTATGCTAGAACTTTTAAGGAACAAAAGTGCTTAATCATAACGAAGATTAGGTGCAAATTGGGAGAAAGTGCAGAATCGCCCACTGCTTGCCGCATTTTTAAGAATTGCACATATACGGTATCCATGCACACGTCAACCTATTTTCACTAAAAAAAAAAATCCCAGAATTGCACAAAAATGGCATTGCGCACACTCTTGACTTTATCCATGTACACTGCTATAGTCCTAGCTAGTAACCTTTATCACCTTACCAAAACTACCTGTTACCATATTCCAAAGATTAGTGGCATTTTCTATTAAAAATTATTTTATACTTACTTTTTGTTATAATTGTGCTTCTGAGGATTACGGATTTACTGCTACTGGAATTAACATGCACAAAATAGTCTTCGTCATAGTTTTTATTTTTAATATTGACACAGAACAGAAAAATAAATATTTATCTGTTGAAAATAAAATTAATAAATTAATAATGACAGGAAGTATAACATTTGAGATTTCATACAGGAAGAAATACTGAAGCTTCTAAAGGAATTAGATGATGACTTCTGTTACCCACAGATAACATAAAAATTCTAAAACTGCAACAAATAATCTAAGGCTACTGTAGAATGTGATAATAATTTAGGAGAAACATATAATTAATTTGATCTCAGATGAAATGTATAGTCTTCATGAGTTTATCTGCAAAGGTTTCTATGTGATCTGGGTTATTCCAATTATTTAATTTGATTCTTTATTGGCAAAGGAGAATGTAAAGAATTTTGTAAGTGATCTGAACTTGCTGCCAGGAATGTTTGTAGCATCAGAAGATCGTTGTTGATGTGTTGCTGTTTACAATGAATGCATTTGTGATCCGAAACCCTTTCTTCATCTGTGACTTTCCAGTCTTGAATCACGTAAGTAATATTACTTGGTAGAAAGAGTTACATAACATGTAGACATGGCAACCCTGGGATATCGCTTATTATTTAGGTCAGATAGAAGAATGCTAGCCCACCTTCTGGTGGGCTAGCATTATTAGAATTTAGAGCAACAGGAGTGGCAACAGGGCCAGTGTGACCACATATTAGAAATTTTAGAATCCAGAGAAGCACTGAAAAAAAAAATTAGGAATGCCAAAATTATTAGAATTTAGAGCAGTAGCTGGCAGCAGAATCGCAGAGATTAACTAAAAGATACAGACACAGTAAGTGATCTTGAAATCTTAAAAAAAAAAAAAAAAAAAAAAAGCATTGATCCTAATAGCGCATTCCTTTTTTTTATTTTGTTGCCTCTTTTGTTTTATGATTCATAACTTGTGTGATACTGATATCAGAGTGGCAAAATGTATGAAACAGTACCTGCCCCCACCCCCTATAACTATTCACTGGTTGAAAGTATGATCCTGGACAACATCAATCAATGTATTGTTACTTGGCTATGATGCAACTTCCTTGTCAGCAGGTGTTTGAAAGTTACATGTAGGAAATCAGTTAGGTGGGAGAAAAATGGCATTTATGGCACATCTGCTACTCTTTTTTTTTTTTTTTTTTTTTTTTTAATATTATATTCTGGATTCCTATACTTTGTACAGAGGAACTTTTGTATTACTTTATTCTATTTATTTATTTTTTGACTGGTGGTTCAATGGTTCGGAGATCTGGACATTAAATCATTCTTGATGTTGGATGTTCAGATTTTAGACCTTTTATGACTATGAAAATTGTGCGAAATCCAACTGCACAGAGAACAGATAAATTCTTTGTGAAAAATATTTTAAATATCAGCTTAGAATTTTTTAAATATTTATTGAGCACAAAAATCTATTCTTCAGCAGTTTTTCTGCTTATGATTATTCATATTATTGTAATTCTATATCTAGAGTACAATAATTTGAAATTACTGAAATAATTATGGAATCCTTTGTAGTTCTGCTATTTCACGAGTACAAAAATTAAAATATGTTAATAAAATATTTTTTTTAATTTAATGAAAACCTTCTTCCAACAAGAAAGAAAAGTCAGAAGCTATTTAATTACATTCACATAATTTACATACCTTACATGAATGTGTAAAACATGAAAAGCAGAGTAAGGTTAAAATTCTTCTAATTTTTATTATTTACAGGTTTCAGAATCAAAAATACGAATATAAGTATACATAGCCATGTTAGTAAAATCCTTATCCAGAACACAAGTAAAAATTCAAAATTAGAAAAGAATATTTAAAAAACAAGAAAAAAATACTGAAATCAAAACAAACCTTTAAATAATTTTAAGACAATGAGATTTCTGTAATATGTTTTAATACAATGAAACTCAGCAACATAATTTTTTTATATACCTTCATCAAAATTCAAATTTTTTAACCTTTCCAATGTTTGAAAGGATTGTTAGTACTCTTCTGTTATCAGGACCAGATTCAGAAATGTATGTATGTATGCATATATGTTAATAAAATATTTCATTATGTTCATGCATGCATCTATGTATGTAGGTATGCATGTTTGCATATACACACACACATATACATGAATATATCCATACATACAAATATGTACATACATATATACACTTCTAAATCCAGTCCTGATAACAGAAAAGTACTGGATTGTTTATAAAAAGCATAAAGGTAATTTTAGCAAATGCTAAAATATGGAAAATCTTTTAATGTCTGAAATTTATCTTTTAATGTTCCTAATATGTAACTCAATGCTCTTGCTTTTAAATTCAATACCGATCGATTTCAAAAATATTTGTTAACGCATCTAATTAAAATTATTACTCATCTGTTTAAAATTATTAAATAAAAAGTGCTACATAAGTAAAAGCACTACGCAATCTCAAAATCACAAATTTCCATGAAAGGAAATTCCATTAGCAGGGAAAATAGCCTTAATATATTCAACTGCGTTTTTAATAAATAATGATGCTACAACTGCTAATATTTTATCACATTCAAGTCACTTCTATTTTATCAATTCCAACTAATGCTTCCGCTATGTTTCTGCGTCTTTACCGATTTTTAGTTTATGAGTTTGTGATTTAATGAAACACTCCTATTTTAGCATATGGATGAACATTTCAAATTATTTTTCAGAGATAGCAAAATATGGAAAAGCTTGGAATCTGAAAACAATCTATTATCACAAAAATTAACCTGTAAGTTTTCCTAAAACTATTTCTCTTATTGACAGATCAGAAACTAATTTTTTACGCAGACTTTAAATATGTGTGACACCACAAGATCTTAAATAATAAACTGCAGTATTATACGATTGTTATAGAGAATTTTAAACTTACTTTTAATTAGAATTTTCATAAATTTTCCTCTGATAATTACAATGTACTTTATTTCAGATTAAGTAATACTTCCGTAAACTAACAGTTAGTTACCTTAACATTTTCCCGTTTCAGTGACGTCTGAAATCAGTAAACAAATCAGCAGGTCTTGTTTCAAACGTCAGCGATGCCTAAGGCATGGAGCAAAATATTTGACGTCAAACACATTTCTTGTTTACAAAAAAAAAAAAAAAAAAAAAAGTTTAATATCTTAATTAATTATATTTATACTTTTAATATATTAAATCTGATATTATCAATGATTCAAACATTTAAACCAAAATTACTCATCGCATCATTTGTACAAAGGGGTTATAACACACAACCTCACTTGAAGACTCGAATTTTTTTTATCACAGTGAATAAAGTACCACTATTTTTGCCGTTCCATGCATTTTCATCTCGTCAAACACAAAACTGGATTACTTCAAGTTCCAGGAAAGAGCTATTTCAATAGCTGTGTACCTGGTGAAGCTACATATCAACGTTTCAAGAAATGGGAGCAGTAATGCATTCAACAATGCGTAATAGACACAATCGAACCACAAGGTCATTTACCATCTTGAAGGACATGGAATAACTCCTGCTCTACCTTTGTCATCTGTGCTAACGCATGACGAGACAAGCAAGCAATAGAAATCGTATAATCGAGCACCAGTGCTCGGAACCGCTTCATAACTTTGCCCCAGCATCCTTATGCTAACTTGCATAAGGATGGATACCTAGCAAAGGTATCCATCCTTATGCAAGTTAGCTACTGTTGAAAAGTCAGAAATCTTCATATCAGTGCCGTTGCATACGGGAACGAGCACAAACTTAAAATCAGTTTCTCGCTTGAAATTGATCTTCAGCACCCTTATGCCCATCTGGTGTTAAAAGGTTCTCATCTGCATTCCTTTACAGAAATAGTAGATCCTGCTTCCTGAAAAGGCAGACACTGAATAAACTAGACCAGCAGATCTTAAAATATGGGTTGTGCCGCAAAATAAAACTTTTTGGTGAGAAATGACAAGATATTTGAATATTTTCTGTTAGTTTTATAGTTATGCATATTCATTTGAATTAAGTAATAATTTATAATTATACAGAGTTTGATGTTCTTTGGTAGCACAAACTAAGTCCAAACTCCACGCAGCTGTGAAGGGAATGTCTCTGTATCTGAAAAAACTGTTGAGGTTTAAGAAAGTTTCATTTATCGAACGTTTTTATAATATCAGAGCTGGAACGTAAAGGCACGTCTGGTGATTGACAACTGTCAATTTCAAGATTTAAACTAAGTCTAGAAACCAAAGATTACGCAACTGATTTAACTATAAGTTGGTTCAAACTTCCCACCGGTGTAACATTTTAAATGTAGGCAATTATCATGCAAAATCGAACACTGCAATCTTATCTAAGCTAGCGAAACCTAGGAACGTGGCTTCGAGAGGCAGAAACATTCTCTGACCTATAGTACATATACGAATGCGGATTCTGAAGTTGCTTATGGGGCCCCAAAGAAAGCATAAATAAACTAGATAAGAAAATGTAGCCTCTGAAGGCGCATGACTTTGACACGCTAACAGGCGAAATCCTTAAAACGATCAAGAAAGTGAAGTAAACGTGAGAAGATCATTGTCTCCTGTTATGCATATCTGCCAATCAGATTGAAACCGACAAAAGTCACGCCGCACAAGAAAACAAGTAAATGTCCGCACTAAAAGCTAGATTACGAAGTTGTGGTCCTTAAGAACATGAAAAGCAAATTGTTTGATTAAATTGTCTTCTTTAATGATATGATAACTAAGAACTTCTAAACAATTCTTTAATGATATGATAACTAAGAACTTCTAAACAATTCTTTAATGATATGATAACTAAGAACTTCTAAACAATTTGCAGCATCACAGCCAAGTCCAGTTTCGAAAAACGCTTATGAAGTTTAGTAATGTTTGCTTGTTCTATAGGGTCGGTTTTCAAGTCATCGTGGATCAGTTTGGTTCGTGTACGATAATGAGCACTTACAATTTTTCTCAGAATCTTATTCTGTACTACCTGAAGTCTGTAGAATTTTGCCTTTGAGACTGACACCCAGGCTGCATATGCGTAGCATGGTATTTTCCTTTTAATGCATTGGCATAGCCTTCTCTTTGTTGAGAGACAGTCCATAGTAATTTCCCAGGAATGCAGAAAGTTGGTTAGCGAAAACGCAGGTTTTTCCTATGACGTTCTTAATATGGCAAGTCCATGTGAGCCTTTGGTTAATAATAACCCGCGAATAACTTTCATTATTTACACGGTTCACAATTTCCTCCAATAACTACAAGTTATTCAATGCTACTCTCCGAAACTTGCACCTCCGTACCAATAGGAGCTTTAAGGTATTTATACCGATTCTCCAATTTATATACCACGCCTCAATATCTAAAACAAAATCCTAGAGTTCTGACTTACAATCCAAACAACCTCCGCTTAAATAGTCTGAAACTAAATTTGCATTCTGGTAGCGAAACGGAAGCGAAAAGTGACAGTCTAAATCAGAGTTTTTTAAACTGTGGGTCGCGGGACCTGCAGCAGGAAGTCATTATTTCTTTAATTTCAGGAGGTCAAATATTTCTTTAATTTATTATAATTTTAGAATGTATCTGAAAACAGATAAACATAAGACAATACAGGCAACTTTGATACTTTGATACTATTGTTATTATTCTGGCCATGCGGCGGAAAATTCCTATCCCTGTTCTTTTCAGATTCCTGAGTGAATACCGAATTGGGCCTGACGTCTGAGGAAGTCCGTAAATATTCTTCGGAACATTATAGACTTGCTTTGCACGTGACGCTGTCATTTCGTCTGTTACTTATTTAAAATTTTCACATTGTTCTATGTCTTAAAATTAGAAATTAAAGATAATGACCTAAAACTGTAATGGTATATTACAGAACAAGTGAAAAAATTGACAGTTTCACTCACGCCTGTGTCGGATTTGCCCAAAACTTATGGGGACCCAAAAAATTTTCGTAAATATTATGGGGTCCTTGGGTCTTGAAAAAAAATCTCAGTGATAAAAAAGAGTCGCGACTGAAAAACGTTTAAGAAGTCCTGATCTAAATCACAATAGCTGATTAAGATTAACATAACAGAACGTTGATATAATTCATTGTTAATCGTTATTCACGCTCATTTATTACTAGAAAGCCCGGCGGTCATACGAAATGACCGCTGTTCTAGATATTATAAATTAATTATAAACAGATGATTGCTAACGTAAACAAATGTTCACGTTCCCCCTGACACGCTCAATTTGCGTTCAGCTGAAAATTCAATTTAAAATACAACGTCGAAATAAAATCGGGCAAATTTTTAAACTCTTTACGCGAAAGGATATTTAGCATAGGAGTTTGGGTTAACCTACTCGATGAGACGTACTACGCACAAATTGTTTGGTTTCGTCTCTTTTAATTTCTCAACGTTTGCAAGTTTTTAGATAATTCATATGTAACTATAGTTAAAAGAATAATAAGCAACAATTGTATGAATTAAAAATATTTAAATGTTCTTAAATACCATGATAATTCAATTAAAACAATGATAACTCCATGTATGGTATCAGTGTATATGGACTATTTGAAAGCCGTGGCAACTTCACCCCACTGGCTAGTACAGTCACGCAAGCAACCAATAAACTATCGGCGACAAACAGACACTTAAGCCGCATATAATAAAGATTAATCCATTATAACAATATTTTCCTCGAATTCCTTCTTTCTCAGCAACAACAAAGATAGCAACTTTTTCTACAGAATTTCTAGAAGGCAGCTTTATTTTTCTTGAGAGCTCGTAGGTAGAGATGTTAAAAAAAAAATTAAGATTTCCTAGTTAAAAGAAATTATTAAATGTGGGGGGGAGGTAAGAGATTCGAAACATTCCATTTATTAAGAGACTTAGTTGAAAAAAAGTATTTATTAGCTTAGGTTAGATTACCTGAGTATGGTAAAACACACAAGGGCTACTTAAGAAAGCGATGCCTTTGTGGAGGTCATTTTAAGCGAAATTGTCTCGTATTTGTGTTACATATGAGGAAACCCACGGTAAACCCCCATGCGAATGTATCTCTTACTTAAGAGATTAAGGGAATATAATTATAGTATTAAATTTTTTAATGAATATTATTTAAGCAATAACAATATATAAAAAAATTCTTATGGGACCACCACACGACTTCTTTGCACGGCCTATTAAATTATGCATAATTTTTGCTGCATTTCATTTAAATTCGTTTCCTCGAATTATTCTAATTTAATTAACCAATCCATCAAGACAAGCTGAAAATGACATCAGAAATTGTAAATTTTGAATTTAAATATCTTTGTCAACTTTTGATGCAAAATTTCAGCTTTTCTACGGCTCATCATTTTTTAGCTCTGAGAGAAACATACGTACATATGTACGTACAGATATCACGCAGAAAAAATCTATTTTTCATCCATTTTAAACCCATTTTATAATCCGATTGGGGAAAATAGTTCTGAAATAATTCTGTTGAAATAATGATACCTGAAGTTTTCCGCGATTGCGATACTTTTTTTACTTTATAAAGAAAGTAATAAGCAAATTGCATTTCATTTTATACTTATATATGAAGGAAGTGTAAATGAATAATATTAATTAGTGACCAGAAATACAAGTTGCTTCATTTTCTAAAGAATTCGAAATTCATACCAGATTTTACTAGAATTTAATCTATTGTGGAAAATTAAAAAAAAAAAAAAAAAAAAAAAAAAAACTACTATAAATCGAAAAATAAATTTTAAGACACGCACAGGCAATTAAGAGTTACATTTAACCATCAATTTACATATAGTTTAATTATTTAAGCTAATCACATCTAGTTTTGCTTGGATGTACCATTTGCAGAAGTGGACAATGAAATTATATTAATTTCTACAATCATATTTAGAAATCTTTGAAAAATCAAAAAATGAATCTCTCCTAAAGCAATTTGAAAATATTCCTGTGATAACTTTTGAATTTACATATTATAAAATATTCAAGTGAAGTCCTTTCAGCTGAAGAAAAACTGATTTTGGGAGAAATTATAATTTTGTGGAATTCTTTTTATTGCGATCTTTACCGT